AAACAATTAAGCATTTATCATTTTTTAATTATCCACTTTATGTGGAATGGGCGCATACGCCCGCATTTGTGTGCGCACATTTAGTAGTGCACCGCGTTTGCTTATGCCATAAATTTCCATGATGTGACTTAAAATAAAAGTCTGCACAACATTTGCGATCATCATGTGGCAGAGAAAGAAGCAACTGACCCATACACAGTTTGAAAAACTTGATTGAAATGCGATTGAAAACCGACAACGTTTTGACGTCATAAATAAATCATAAGACATATGATTGATACAAATAATAAATCTACCAAGAAAAATGAAATACAACGAATTAGATATGTTTTGTTGTGATTTTATTGTCGTCGTCGTCATCATCGTCGACGTCGTCTTTTGCATTTGCGATTCACTACTACACTTCAGACGAACATTAGATGTCTTTTGATGGCCAAACGCGCAAAGAAAGCGCCACATGAAACATGGAAATTGAGGCACAAACGTTTGCCTTGCAATTTTCTCTCTATCACACTCTGTAAGTGTTTATGCCAAAGCAATGAAATTCATGTGTTTCTCTTTGTCTTCTTCGTCTTCAATTATCTTTCATTTTGATCTAGGTGACTGCAAATTTTAAAGTGAAATAACATTATGGCAGTCATTTAATGTAAGACGGAAAACTAAAGACGACGAAGATGAAATATATGAGGAAGAAGAACAAAAGCCACCAACAAAACAATAATAAAATAAAAAAAACGCAACACATAAACAACAGCAACAACAAATTATAAAACAGTATCAATGGAATAACGTGACCGTAGCCAATGCAAAAGTTGAAAAGCTCACACATTCACTTCCATTCTGGACACGCGGATTATATTTCATTTTAATTGAATGTTTAATATCTCATTCGAATAGGATATGAATGAAAATGCGCGCACACGACGATCGCCAGCGATGTTATACCATTTTAGATAATGATGAATAAAAAAATGTATATTAACCAATTGTACTTTGGTCAATGGTTTTGCCTCCGAACTATGATATCGAGCGTTGAAAAGTGCAAACGAAACCGAGAGAAGAGAAGAAAAAATCCAATGTGTGAAATATTTAAATGCGCTCATTGTTTTTGTGATATAAACGTGACATATCTGCATGAAAATGCGCCTCAAATTTCAATTTTAACCGAAAGCACATACCGATACAAATTCGGTGTCGAATAATGAAAGAAAATAAGCGCTCATTTTGTAAAACTTTCGTTACAAGAATTAAATTGTTTAATCGAACATTAATTTCGGAATTCCACTTTACTGTAAAATCCATTAAAGGAAAACAGTAATTCAGTATTCATTATGACTGTGTGGCACATGGAAATGTGATGGCAGCAATTATATTTTCATGAAACACACCATTATGACCGCGCGTATCGAATTTGAATTTTGAATTGCATGCTTTTTCCATGCTCAAGCTGATATGCGCAAAATGTATTTCCGGCAAATCAAAATCAAAGCAGAAGCAAACAACGGCTCCGAGGCGACGAAACGTGAGCATTTCATTGACAAATGAAATAAAACAACAACAATATTGTGAGAGAGAAGGAACTGAGAGCGCGACTGGATCAGCGCACACTTTTAAAAATGTAAAATTTTGTAATTTTTAATCACTTCACTAAAATAATTTGCCTCTTTTTTTTCTTCTATTTTTGTAGATCATGATACACAAGTAATTACACCTACTCTATTATTACAGAAATCGCTGCAAGTCGATTTCAAATGAGTGAGAAAAATGCAGAGTTGTTCTCACGTTACAAATGTGCACAAGCTCGCACACTCAATAGACAGAGTCAATGAGCAACCGAGGAAAAAAAATGAATGATTATTTAATTCAACACACAAACACAGCCACAATTTTAAGAAGACCAACCGCGCATTGTTGAAAGAAAATATTATGTTGCGATGAAATAAAAGAAAAACGAGTAAAGATGACGCCGATTAGATTTGGGACTGATAAACAATAAATAATTATGTAAAAGACTTCCAGCTAGGAATATATATCCCGATTATATAAAATTTTTACATTTTATTGAAATGGGTGCGCGTGCTCGTTTTATTTACATTTTATTTGAATGAGTAATGGATGTCTCATGCCACCAACATTACATCCGCTATAATAATAAAATTGTGTGTCGACAGCGCACCAGTCCATCTTTGTTGCACACAAAATTTATGACATTCAATGTGTGGCGCAGAAGTTAAAGTTCATTCGCTGTTTGTTCATTGGTTTGAACCACAATAAATAAATCATAGAATCATACAGACGTCACAATCAAACCTCGAATTGGACGTTTTCATTAAGATCGACAGGCTGAGATATGCTTCAACGAACAAATACGGTTTAATTGAAAGAAGGCTAAAATGAAGGCTTCTTCATCAAATATTTTAAACAACTGTTAATCAAGTGAAGGAAAAATGGTAATAAAATTGTAAGCAGCCACATCGAAACGTGACCTGTAATAAATTGCATGCCTTTTCTCACATCGTCGGACCATCCACGACGTCATCATTTTTTTTTAAATATATTATGTTTAAACAATAAAGAAAAAATAAAATCGGATTAAACACCTCTCTCATTGCAATCATTCATTATGTTATGGAAAAATGTCAAGGAAAATATGCACAATCTTCTGATTGAATCACATATGCTTGTCCGTTCGATCGATACAAAAAAACAAGCCGTGATATTTGTCTTTTGCCCATTCTTCGGAATAAGTGTTTGGTGCGAAATGCATTACAGTCGATAGTATATGGCGATCAGTGGGAATATCGTCTTTTTTTGTACACATATATATGTGTGTGTGTCTGTGAAAAGATCTCAATATGCGATTTATTCAAGAAAGCAACTCACTGATTGGCGATATACCACCAAATGATTCGAATGGCACAAAGAATGCAATAATGCACGATGGGAAGACGACAAAAATCGAATCTTAAGCAATTCAAAATATCGAAGAATACAGCCTTCAATACTAGTTTCATTTGTGCGATGCGTTTTACTTTCACATTTGAACTCGTATTGTGAACACGATTAAATAAAGATGGTCATTCCAATTTCATTTGGTTTATAATAATGCATTTGTTTAGTGCTTGTGTATAAAAAGTGGTAAAAGGGATCACATTGATTTTGCAATTCAGTGAGAAACAACGAACGAACAACAACGAAAAAAAAATCCGGTCAAAAATGAATGCATTGCATCAATTTTATTGGATGATATGTTATGCTGATAAACAATACTACCGCTTTTAGTTTCGGAGCGCTTCTTTTTTTTTCAATAAAAAATTACGTGAGAGAAAAAAAGACGTGGTTCAAATAATGATATCAAATATTATTAATGGAATTGCCGACCTAACACACAACGTGCAAGATCTTTTCGTGTTCGTTATTCATCCAATCAGTTAGAGCTTTTGGTTTTTTTTAATGATTTTATTTACTCAATCGATGGTGAATTAAAACAGTTGGAGTTCAATTGAAAAAGAAGAGAAAAAAAACATTGGGCCATGGTGTATATAAATCCAAAATAAACACATATTCGAAGATCAAATCGTGTGAACGGAACGGCGCACAGAGATGGTGTATGTGCTCGATTAGGCGCACTGTGCACAACAAGAGTCATGCCGTGATTTTCTTTTAGTTGGTGCTCTCATTTCACCATTATTAAATAAATTATCTGTTAAAAATTAACAGAACCAATTAGAGGAAGTGGTTGGTTTTTTCTTAAAACACACATCGCATGCACTTTGTTTAAAGGAGGTACACTTTTTGTTTCCCTTTTCCACACCCAATCACATTCTATGAGTTTATTTCGTTTTTTTTTTTGTGTGGTTTAGTTTTAATGTGGTCTATTGGCTTTTGTTATTTTGGTAATAAGTTCGGCGCCGTTTTAGAGCGTCATTTGTGTATATGAGCTCATTCATTACATATTTCGTAGTCTCACTCTCGTTGATTTCTTATTTAAACCTATTCGAACATACTGATATTAAAGTCGGTTATTGCTCTCATTTCTCTCTCTCTCTTGCATTATTTCCGTGTGTATGTGAACCGTCGTTTACGAAAAGACGAGAGAGCATGAACATTGATTTTCCATCGAACGACGACTAGACTGAACACATTTTTTCTCGTCTTCTTCTTCAAGTGTAATATGAATAATGAGTTAAAAAATGCCTCCCATTAGCTAAAATGAAACCGAAAAAAAAAATGTTTACGCTGAACATTATCGACCTGCAATACACATTTTTTTCTGCCTAGCACTTGTGCACATATAAATCTCTTGCAGATATGCCTCATTAGTTAACGTCCGATTTTCCCGTGTGCGGTTTGCTTTCTTTTGCTCTATTACTTAGCGATTTTTTTTCCAACAATTTTAATTCGAAGGAAATAAATAACATATCATCCAATTAAAAAGTCTTTTTCAACTGTTTCAACTGTTGCCAAAATGTGTGCGCATCGATTTTTATTACCTACAATGCATATGTGGCGGTTTTCTTTCTCTTTCTTCAATGGTAATCGAGCCGCAGAACTCTTCCGCCGAACATTGAATGCACACATCCGAAATGTGATGTGTTAATTTTCTTTTTCTCTTGACAGATTTTCACTTTTCTTTAACGACGATCATCATCCATCTGCTGTTCCGTCTAGAAGCACATTGTGAACCGCGCTTTCGTGTTCATGTTTACCTTCAATATCGATGAGGTATTAATGAGAATGTAATTTGTGCTGTTCGTCCGTCGAATGAAATAAATGATATGAACATTTGTTCAATACATCGTTTGCGATCACCGAAACCAATTGCATAGCAATTGAGTTTGTTGCCGGTGCGATAATGCTTAGTCAATTTTATTAGATCGAATTTATAGACATAATATTTTACGATTTTTCATTTACAAATTCGGGGATAATCACTTTAATAAGTAAGCTTGAAGATGATGTTTTCTGAAAATAATTGAGTTGTATTTTTTACTACTTACGTATGTTATAGTTGAATTTGTTGAGAAGTGGCAGCCAATGCACATTAAATTAATGCCTCCCTGCCAAATGCTAATTTTCGCCAATTGCTAGTTTCCGGATTCCAATTTTTCACTTTCAATATATTGGCAAATTTGTTTAAGATCTATTTCATGCGTTGAAACAACAACAACAAAAATTAAACAAACAAAACTGATGCCACACACTTAATGTCTCATTTCAAGTTGAATAATTGACTTTGTCTATATCGCACACTTTGATCGACAAGAAGAGTGTTTTTCTTATGTGTACTCGATGATATTTTTTTTTATATCACGCTTGAATTGCTCTGACCTGTTAAGCGAACAATTAAGTGTTCATTAGATGTAAGAAAATTCAAACTGGATTTTTTCGTTTCGCGTATCGATTTCGGTTTATTTATTATTTGCGGTTGCACTTGTAATCATAGAAAAATATAATCCAATAATAATCTTGCATCAAACGAGACAAGAAAAAAAAATTATGCTTCACTAAAACTTCTATAGGTCATTAACGGTTGGCGAAAAAAGTGTATACAAACAAATTCACGACACACAAATTTTGTGATTGCACAATGAAAATGGTATTGTATTTAATTTCTATATATTTATATATAAATTTTTTCTCGGATTAAAACCACTGTTTTTGACTGCTGAATCAAATTAACCGACTGTTTAAGCGATACGAATTGATGATTTATACATGACGAAATGCGAACTGAAATGCAATATTTTCAATGCTCTGTCGAACCACTTTTCGCCCTGAAAAATGTATCGACACACAATGACGAAATCGATTAAAATCGATTTATAAGATTCTTCGGTTTTTGAATGCGATGAATGAACATGAGTATCGAAACCGATTACGGTAAAAAATCAAAACACATGTCGCACATTTAATTCGGAATTCTGAGCGCAATTTGAATGAAGCCACACGGATTCGGCGAAGTGTTTTTTCTATTGTGAATGTCTTTGTCAATGTGTAACATACGAAACAAAAAAAAACAACAACTATAATTCAACAATAAACAGCAACAGCCATCATCAGCAGCAGCAATAACAAAAAATTATAATAATAGTTGGTACGACGAACGATTCAACGGTAAAATTTATTTATTTTTTAAATTTAACGATAGACAAAGTCAGACGATGAAAAAATACGTCTATTCACTAGCATGACTTATACATGAATGAGTGATGCTGCGATTGTTGCACTTAACTGTGTCTCTCACTTGGTTCGATTCGCGAAACCTCATAGACGAAATGTTGGGATTAAGATTTTTTTGCGGCATGTACCAAATTACAATATACAGATTTGTACGCGCGCAGTCGACATAGCGTATGCTTCTTTCGGCTCATACTTCTTCTTCATCATCGTCCCATCGTCGTCGTTGTCGTTTTTGGCGAACTACCATCATTACCATCATTATTACCAACATCAAAAAGTGCGCACGATAAACAATATATCGACAAGCGCAACAGCAACAACAACAAAAATCTACCAAATGAAAACACGAAGAGATCCAGAGTGCGCAAACACAAGCACCATCACATCGTATCCATGTTTGTTGCGATGCTCAAAAACGTCGAAACAGATCACAACAGCAGTTCGTATATAGTTAAAGAGCACACGTCAAAAGGTAAATATAGCGAACATCAACTCTCACTATCGTTTGCGCGCCAACTTTATAACCGCGTCACACACTCTATCTATCTACGTTTTGAACTCGTATACGCCAGCGATGCTTCGATGCTTCGTTGCATTTCGTGCCGTGGTTGAGGTGAATGCGAACGAAACAGCAGATTTGTGAACAGTTTTTTTTGCGCACACGATGCCTGTTGTTGGTTTTTCACTATCGCACATATTGGTTTTGAATTTGAATTTGGTTTGCGCTTTGTTTAGTTTTAATTTAGCTTCTTCTGGCAGCGAGTCTTGCGGTCTGTGTGAATCAAAGAATAGGTGAGAACCATGGTGCAGCATTTATAGCGAATATCATGCAATAGCGCAGAACAACAGATTGACAAAACAATAGACTGATGCGCGCGCTCACTCTCCCAGCAAACGAACCCCAATGCAAGAAGATGAAAGGTGAAGTAATACTTGTTACCATGAGGTTTGTTGTGGAATAAATCGTGTTGTTTTACGATGCGTCACTTTACGAATATTGCGAAAAGCAACAATAACAACAAAAATACACACATTTAAAGTGAAAGAGAAAGAAAATACATTTCAAATTAGAAGTGTGTATTTTATACATACACACACACATTACACTGCGTCATATTTCGGCGTGAGAGATGTCGAGAATCAGAGAACTTCTTCTCGGCAATATATTCAAAATGATCATGAAATACATTGATCATCGAATTCATTACATATACACACAGAGAGAGAGAGAATTGTGCGCTTATTTATTGATTTACGATGTGAACTGCATGTCAAGAGTCTACCTATTGAACTGAACATTATGCAGTTTTTAATGAAACGATGATTTACCGGCAATTTTTATTCGTGTTTATGAAAGTTATATTGAGATAAGAATTTGGTTTTTTTTTCTCTTTGAATTTCTTCTAAACAGACAATTTATCATTGTTTTAATGAAGGATTTTCGTTTCGTTCAAATTAATTACCGTCTTAATTAGGATTATAGAATTAATTCCCGTGACCGAATACACAAAAAAAGGTTATCAAACAGTATATTATATCCGTCTAAGTTTTCCGGTTGTCTTTCACCATTTCATAATTGAATATACACGATTCGATGTGGATGTTTTGTTGAATTTCGGTCAAACATTCTCTCTAATTCGGATTATCCCGCAATTTTTCGGTGTTATATATTTGTGTGTGTGTGTGTGGTCGGGAAATTCTGCAGTAAATTTGTAGAAAAATTAAATGAAATAATAAGTCTCATGGTGATCTACAATATCACCTACATAACATTAGATGGTTATGTAAGTGTGAATTTGGGTATTTGTTAAACGGGTACATCGCGAAAGTAATTCAATGTGGCGAACAATAGATTTAATCAACGGCATAAGAAGCAAATAACAAAACAATTCTCTCTTCAATGGTCGCACATTTTTATTTTCACTCATTTCGCGCATCTCGTGTGGCAAATAAGAAGGTAATGAAGAAAATGAAGAAGAATGGTGAGGTTAACCGTCAAAGACTGGCCATAACGCGATCACTAAAACGGTTTGGGATCATTGGAGATTTTTGGTGTTGCTGTGTGCTCTGTTCAAATAGCTTTCAAATTGATATCGATTTTATTGAACGATTTGGTTTGCGATGCCGCGAATTATAGCTCCGTAGGACACTTGAACATGATTCCCACATTTTCAGAGACCTATCAACAGCATAAAAGCCACACGCTCTTTTTTTGACCATTATGCACATTTGCCTTTGCCCAATAATCACACAAAAATCTTACCTAACGTTTGCCATTTGATCAGCGAACAAACGAAAAAAAAACGAACCGAACTTTTTGGTACTCGCGCTCTCAGTACATACACACACATACCGTGTGTCAGATTGAAATCTAACCAGACAGACTGTTACCATTCGCATTTACTGTTATGTAATAATTTTCTTCTTGAATTTGTGGTTTGCCGAATTGTCGTCGTGACGCTGATGATAAGTTAATAAAAATAAATATAGCACGAAATAAAAAAACAACAACAACAACAACAACACCCAATTCGATGCAAATAAAATCAAAGCAATTGCCCATGCTGAACTTTAATTGAACGATAATGAGATTGATGTTACATTGCATGCCACGAAATCATCGTATTGAGTGTGATTGAATGATGACTGATATGCGTTTTGGAGATGCGGAATACCAATCCAAAATTGACATAGTTTCGAAAACTCACCGACAAAAAATTGATTTAATGCCATTTTGGCTGTCGATCATTTCGAAGCAGTCATTGCAGTAATTGGCACACACACACACACACACAAACGTATATGTTACATCTACAATTTTTATCACCTTTCTAACTACATGCATTTGTAATTCGCCCTGCAGTTCTGCTTCATCATATATGTGTTTTTTTTTCTGAGAGTGCATAAACGAAACGAAACGAAAAATTTGTTAGGAAATGTACAGGGCTTCTGATTTATTTGTAATCAAGTGATCATGTAATTTTGTGCATTAAATATCTTCATTTTTCAACAATTCCATATTCCATTTGATCATCATTCAATGAGGTAAAAGAGAAGCAAAACAACACAAAGAAAAAAAGAAGATGCAAAACAGCCATTTGGTTAACAATTTTATTACACGTTAAAACGTGCAGAAAGCAAACGATGATGATGTGATGGAAGAAATTTTTTTGTTTTTGCATCGATCACACAGAAGTGCATGCCACACAGTAGTTCATTTCATATCACGTTTCGACTCGTCTTCATAAATTATGCATAAATAAAGTTCATTGCTGGCAATAAAATAGCGTTTTATGTTGTTGCGCTACTTGTGCCGACTATCGTCGATCCATACTTTAATTCGAAATTTATTTACACATCCTGCACACACGCGACGGTAATCTTTCTTTCTGCCATATATTATGTAAAAAAAAGCGAAATTACATGATTACGCATATATGCAGATAGAACTCGATAACCAGATCTTTTTCACCGTTTTTTTCAACAAACGAAATCGATAGTGAGAATAATATAAAAGTGCTTTCAAAAAGCATGTGTTTTCAATTATTAGTATTTCATTTTGTGTATTAGAAATGAGTCATTTCAAATGACATTATACTAACATGTGTTGAATAACATTTTCCCGATTACTATTATTATTTGCCAAAGTGTGAATGCATTCAAATTCAAAATTGAAGTCATTCACTTCGAATTTGCCGCTAAAGTTTGATGGAAAATGTTTTTAAAAAATGCGATACAGGCATTACTTCATTTTGATTGAGCACTTACAATTTGTTCGACAACAACGACAGCAACTGCCAATAAAGCAATAATAATTTACTCTTACTTTCACATTCACGGACACTTCACCGATATGTTGATGTACTCTTCAAACTGCGCTTCTTTCTATCAAATAACAGCTAATTACCATACAAATAAGAACGAGTTCATGCTGTGCATATACCGATTTCCTTCCGATAAATTTGCTTTGACACATTTGATCACACATTTACACAAATATTTTTTGTATCGCTTCTTTTGTTAATTAACAAATTCAAAAACAGATATTTTTTTTCGAACGAATCGGTGTATTTTCTCTTAATAAAAGCTACCAGTACAATGTATCAATGTTACTTTTAGTTAAGATTTGATTATTAAAGTTCAAAATCAATATAATTTCCCAATTGGAGTTCCATCGTCATGTGTTATAACAATTCCAGATCTTGATCCACTCTAAAATACAGAGGAAAAAAAATATTGATTTTACCACTGAAATTGAAGTGTTCATAAGATGCGATGTGTTTGTAAGAAAAATTCATTGTTCACACAATATATCTTTCACACTTCACTTTATGTAAAAAAAACAAACAAACAAATAATAATGTACAATTTTCAGTGAAAATAAAATTACCGAACGTGATGATGATACTGGTTTTGAAGTTGATTTTCTTGCGGCACAATTTTTCTTGTCGCCAATAATTTCATATCTCGTTTCGACTATGAAAAAAGAGAGAGAATTGTTTTTAATGTTTTATTAATTATTGTTTAATATACAATCTTATAATTGCTACTGGGAAATAAGTAAGAAAGATGTCGCATACCAACGGTCCTTCCTGGAACAGAAACAGCTGGCATGGAAGTAAAATGATTAAAGTTGTTTGGGGCCATAACGACTGGAGTTACAGCCATCATCGATTGTTGTGATGCTGCCAAATGGGCGATAGCATTTGCCGCTACTTGCTGAATATGGCTATTCACAGCATTTGACATTGCGTTTGACATTTGAGATGACATGATGGATGCTTGTTGAAATGGATCCACTTGCGATGCAAGCAAAGTAACCGAGGCTTTTGAAGCGGGCAATGTATTCGCCATAATTGGAACACCCAAACTGTTCGTGTGAGCGTTCTGAACCGAAGTCGTTACGCTTAGAACTGGATTGGCGACGGTGGTGGGAATCGGATCTGCAACCACCGCTGCGACCACAAAAACGAGAACACCGACCAAAGATAAACTTTCAAAAATTGCCATATTGACGACTGACAATTGACTGCTGAATGAACATGGGCAATGCACGGTATTTATTACCGCCGTGTTTCGACAAACGTATTCTTAATTATCAAAATTGCATTTTATTTCGTTCGGCATAAATTAATAAAAACTACTCAAAATTACATTGTTTTGCGACACGTGTGTTTTTGAATTGTACTTAAATTGCGATATTTTTCTGCGCCAATGTCAACTTGCTTTTCATTTAATCGAATTTTACATTTAAAAAAAGATCTTTATTAAAAATGTTTGAAGATAATTAAGCATTCTTTCATACAATTAATTCTTTTTTTGTTCAGTTGTAATAAATAGAATATAGTGTTTGTAGATGTATTGTACTATTTTTGCTGAACATCTTCCGCTTCCAAAATAATCTGCACATTTCTCCCTAGGAAGATATTAAAGTGGAATATCCGAGATCAGCGGCGAAATTAACTCCCGTATCTATAGCTGAATTCACAGTATTGATCGTATTTCCAAGCCCTTCGATAATTGGCCGTCTTGGTGGTCTTGGTGTTGGACGGGGGGGTCTCTGTGCCAATGGAGTTGAACAGAAGAGTACAATCAATGTACAAATCAAAATGATCAGATTTATTTTCATTTTAATTTATACTTTTGTGGCTTTTCTCTCTGTAATCACGTTCTTTGAGCTTTACAAACTGACTGATGATTTCTAACAAAAGGAAACTCTTTTTATACACATCATATTGGAAATAGTGGAAAACATGAAAATAAACATAGAAATCAATCCAGTTAAGAGATTAAATCAAGTTTTACTTGATATCTTTATGCATTGAGAAACATTTTTCTTTTTTAACACGCAATCAGTTGTTCGAATATCATTTTTAATGCAAGTTACCACTTTTTCTCTCTCAATCCCTCTCTCTATCTGTCTCTCTTTTTTCTCTTTCAACCTGTATTAACGTAAATTTCTTCACACAAAAAAAAAATCCATATTCAAAAATTCTGAGGTAATTTCGTTTCAAGTTTTTTTTTATTATATGATATAATGAAACAAAAATGTATGATATTATGATACACATAACTTAATAACAATAATAAATTCAATAAATAAATTGATTATCCCGTTTTCTATGTACAATATATCGTATTGTTTTCAGCCATAATTGAACTTTGTTCGACATTGACAAATGCACATTTATTCAAAATCTATGGCGATAAATTCACTTTCATCGGGTATCGGATCAAGTTTCAGTTCGGATGGTGGTACAGTTGTTATATTTGTTCCAACTTGGAATGGCCTCATGATACCCATATTATTAGCTATTGAGCTGACTCGGTGCATCATTGTTTGTACGGCATTGCCAATCAACTTACCGGCAGATGATGCGACATTTTGGGCTGTCTGTGCTGCTTGATTGAATGGTATACCGGTAAAATAGGTGAGCAGCGTTTGAAACATTGTTCCTGTTGATGTGAATGCGTTGTTTACGTTCTGAATTGATTGAGCAATTGCTGTTATAATTGGTCGTCTTGGAGGAGAAGGACGTGGCCTTGTCGGTCTGACTGTGGTGGTCGATGTCGTAGTAGTAGTAGTTGTTGTTGTTGTTGTTGGTGGTGATGATGATGATGATGATGATGGCGATGCTACTGTTGTCGAATCAAGTAAATCGAAATTGGGATCGAATGGAAAGTCTTCTTCCTGCGGAAATGGCGAAGAATGAACGAGCGCAATTAATGCACAAACCAGTATGATCTTCGAATTACTTTTCATTGTGTTTAATTTACTGCAAAGAGTTTGATTTTAAAAAAATGCACTCTTTGAGCTCTATACAACAAATGATGAATTATGTCAAAACGGAGCACCACTTATATACGTCAGCAACAGATAAGAAAAACAAAATATATAATCAATGATTAAAACGAGTCTTATTTGGTTGGTTTTTACCATTGGGAAACATATTTTACGGAATAATTTTCGAATTTTCGCATAAATGCAAATGGTACACTTAATTACCTAGTAAAACATCTATTCAATCACTTTCTTTATACATAATGTATGACTTTTTGGATGACTGGCACTTTTGATAACAAATTTTAAGTGTGCACACACTTCGACAAGCTAATTGATACTGAATATGTGTCACGATGCACGTAGATTGGTTTAGAGGAAAAACTATGATTTGTGACATCGACTTATTTACGGTTAATTGCTTTTTAAGTAGGAGAACAATTTCAGAGTCCAAAATAACGATGTCAATATATATGAACAATATTTGAGAACTTGTATATTTACTGTTTCATTTATCTAGTGAATAGATCTATTTTATTTATCCAAGAAGCATTTTTTTAATATTATGGAGTTTAACCCTATGAATTAGATACAGGTTACATTTTCATCATGAAAATAGACATGACCTAATGAACCTTATTTTACTCTTGACTAGAGAAATATTCATTATAGACCGATTTGGTTCAGATTCGTTAAGTCAGTTGCATTCTTATCTACTGAAATAGAGACTAGATCTTGGTCGTTTAGCTACGAATTGGTTGAATTCACATCAAACTGGATATAGAAACATTTGTTGCATACAAAGAACAACTTGTAAACATTTCACAATGTGTCTTTTATTTCAATAAAAAAAAAGATAATAAGTAATCACTGATTAATACTTGATAGATTTTCGAGTCAAAAAATGGTCCGACACATTGGCAAATTGTTTATAAATTTTCGCAATATCTTGATAGCTAAAAAAGTGAAATAAAAACATGAGTGCCGATTCAAAATAAAAGTTCAAAATTTACTGCCATTCACCTTTTTGAAGCGTTAAGCTCAAACCCTACTTTATCCGCTATATGATTTGAGGCATCTGCTGAAAAAATGGTTGATGTCACTTGTATGCCAGCATTTTCACAAACTATTTTTCTGGCAATGAGAAGATGCTCAGCAATTTTGCGACCACGATAATCTGGATGTACCAAAAGACCAGCGCTGCTCATATATTCTTTAACTTTGTACTTGTCACATACATCGAAATTCACGAACTCCATTACACTTTGCATCATTTTAATTTTAATCGGTTTAACCTAAATGAAAAGCAGCACAAATAATGTCATCCATCCATTGATAAACACAGCATGGCCCTACCCATTTAAATCCACTTCGGCCCGGTTTATCTACATATAATAAATTTACACCGATAACCTTATCTGATCCCTCTTTAAAGCAAGCCACTGATAGATGTTGGTTGAGCACATAAGTCCAATATTTTTTCAAATACATCGCAGATCCGGCGTCTTTGGCTATATCTAATAATAGTTTAATAGAATGATTGAACATGAAAGAAAGTTTAAAACAATAATGCATACTAAACGCTGCTATTGTTGGATCTTGTTTGATAAGAAAATCGGTCATCAGTTTCAGTGCATCTTTATATTTTGAAGGTTGTAAATGCTCAATTCTATACTCAACACTACCATCGGTTTCAATGTCTTTGGCTGGAAATGTATGGTAAATTTTTGGTGAACTTTTATCATTTTGTGCTGCTTTTATTTTTCCAGAGAAATAAACAACAATGACTATAAAAACGATGAACATTCGATATAACATCTCTACGCTCAAAAAGTATAATGAACGAAAATTGTATGAAATCGATTATTACAGGTGGCAAAAACAAATGTTTTTATTATAAAGAATTTATTTTATTCGTTAAGGCAATTCAAGTTACGTCAAAAGTATACAGCTGAAACAAGAATGAGATTGTTTTGATAGAACCCAGGATCAATACAAAAACACATATATTTTTCATCAAACGTTAATAATTGATAGTATTTTTGTATAACCCATTGCCATTGCAACGTAGAGTAAAGTGAAACATAGATAGCTGTAGAGTGTAGATATGTATATTAGAAATGATTGAGTTTTCAAAGTTGTATTCTAGGTTCATTGTCACCAACAATTGTTTGCAAACAATAATATTGGAATAATAGTAATGTTTCTCAAGTTTTTGTTTTATAATGTTTTAGAAATATATAGACAGTTTTTTTTTTCAAGTATCAATTTATTATAATAAATATAACATTCGAAAAATGTGTTGTTGGAAAATAAATACGATTTCAAATATTTTACTGAAAAAGAAATGGGGAATATTATTTATTTTTGATTATTTCAACTCGACGGCTGATTCGGATGAGTTTGTTGTTATGCTACTTCTACTGCTTCGGCAGGAGTCGAGAATGGTCCGGTGATGACGTTGTTAAAATTATCTGCGGCATAGTTTATGCCATTAGATAACATTTGGGCGGCATCCACAGCTCTTTTTCCAGCTCCTTCAGCAAAATTTCTGACGAGATTGGATGCACCGGTTGCCATATTGGTGTATGCGTTATTAAATTGATTGGTAGCAGCGTTCACAATGCCTAAAATTGGTCGATATGGTTCGGCTGCAGCTGCTTCAGCGTCTTGTGGCAATGGTGTGGCGTGCACAAATGCAACGAATCCAACGAATGCGATGAATGACAAACTGAATTTCATCTTGAGTGACTTAGAGTTTTGTTTAAATTTGGAATTAAACACTTCGGCTTGAGCACTGAACGTGAAATGATACTTACCATCGGTCAGTCAAAACATTTATATACCTTATTGATACATTAAACATGTAGCCAAAAGAAATAATCAAAAAATGTATTTAATGAACAGGTTCGATTTTTGCAAATTGATTTGGAAATTTATTGTTGGACATTTTTTAATTTTTTTTTACCTGCACCTGATGACTGCACGTTGAAATACTTTTGACATTGCTTAATCAATTCTGTTTTCAATTTGCACGTGTTGGTAAATTTGCTCATTACTCGTTACTAATTTCACATTCAAATGTAAATGTGGAAAGTTTAATTTGTGTGCGGAATGTAGAGCTGAATAGTTTCGACAGCCTACACTATTTCCGAGTAGTCTTTTACCTAAGATCTATAGAGATATCGATACTAAAACAATATTCAAATATTCATCGGGTTTTTTTTTCTTCTTTGTTTGGAGCGAAACATTTTTATTTTCGAATGAATACATTTGTGCACATCTTTCAATTTCGATAAGGTAGAAAAAGTTTTTTTTTATTGTGATACAGCTATCCAAAGATCAAATAAAACCTAAACAAAATAAGTGGCCTTTGATCTCGATTGCCGCACCGACAAACGATTGAATGAAACGTGTCTATTTATTAATTGTACCATCAAAATGGCTAAACTCTTTCACCAACTTGGAATTGGATTCCATTTGGCTATTGGTAAACAATTGTACAGAAAGTAAAGAGAGAAAATGAAAAAAAAAAATGTGGTTGTTAAGGAAATACGATGAAGAAATGATAAGTGTAGCGCATGAAATACCGATTTTGTATCGACAATTTTAGATCACATAGGCAAAACAGTTCAAACACAATTGGAAATAATCTCTCTTTCACGCTCATGGGTAATACATTGTGCTCGTGCGCGCTTTTCTCCACTCTTATTCATTCACTCTTTCGGCGCAAATGTGATTCGATCGACACGATCGATAATAAACGAATTGAACCAGAACAATTCCAATATAAATTGATCGAACACCAAAGGAATCATTTATGATAACCAGTGGATATACGGGGCTACGGAAAATTGACATAGATGGTTATTGGCAATTTTAATGTAGCATTGAGTCACGAATGTAACCATTCAGCCACCATAAATCACACAGCATTTTCCTCTCCGTACGGAATGTGAACCAGAGAAAATGAAGAGTACGAACTAAGTAGTTTTTCGTGTTTTGATGTGCGCACTGCGCATTTTGTTTTGATTACTGGAACAAAGAAGCTGAGCTGAACCAACAAAACATAAAACAAAACAAATGCGCAGGAACCACACATAATTGAGGGAAGAAAAAGTCCACGGTTATGACATAAATATATAATTCGATAATCGAAATGCATTCAGTTATCAAATAAGCAGTTTGATTTCGGGAGCTCATTTCGTGTCTCTGTTTTCTATCTCTCTCTCTCTCTCTATTTCTCCGGTACGACTTTCAAATTCGAACCGGAAACCAACAACAACAGCATTAACAAAACCAACCAACTCTCAACCAAAACACTCAATTTTGTGCAACTAATTGTACGTTGCATTGTTTGTAATCAAAATAGATATTCAATCACGATGTTTTCAATATGTACGAAAATTGTTTTCGTTTCAACAATGCGATAGACGATTCGAAATCAGACAACTCTCGTTAAATGTTGTAAGTGACCACGTCATTCTTGTATATTGTTTGTTGTATTCAAGGAAACGGCACAAGTAGATGCGATTGCCTTAGTTTCTATTGTAATACACACGAATACAACGAAAGACCGAACAAAAAATGTGTACTGTAATTTGTTTTCTTCACTTCTACTTTTTCTTTATTTTTATTTTGTTTCCCTTTACAAGTACAAATTTAACTTGGAACAATTTTGTCTACGTAAATATTTCGCAGACCATTTCTGATGGTTAATTAATTAGGCATTCCCCATGGAATACTTTTAACCTCATGCATGTTATTTTTTGCGTGTATCAGTCATTATTGATTGGGTCAATACAACGACGAAAACAAAATGTTGTCATTTCTGCTGTGTCATAATGGTAATACATAATTGACAATGATTTCAGCACGAGCAACACATATGATTTAAAGTCTCTGTTACAGTTAAACTAAATGTTTCTAAGGAGTTGGTTTAGTGTTTTCCGTTACTAAATGCTTAAAAATCCCTTCATTTCATTCTATGTTCAAGTAAATTGTGATTTCTGCGGTAGTTCTGTTAAGGAATACGTAATTAATTCAAGTAATTGACATGTAAATCAATCGAATTTGTTGCATTAATTTGATCATTTTTTAAAGCAAATGTATGCTTAATTAAGTGCCACCACATACATTTCGAAAGTTAATGACATCGAAAAAAGAACAGTCCGTCGCCAATCATTTGATTCCTAATACGTAAAGGTGGCACACGGCATCGCGCAGTTGTTCAAAAAAAAAAGCGACAACAACACTTTGCCGTGCATGAAAATTTTCAAAAAAAAAAATTGTGAAAAATGGCATACGTACTGAGGCAAATGTACAATGTCTATCGAACATATTTGGTTGATTATTCGGGTAAAAATTATTGTGCTTTTATTTTTTTTGTTTCAATTTAGTGAAAATACGGACTTTTTTAATTAATAATGTGTTTTATTTTGAAAATAAAAAAAAAATAGATTTAAAATCCGATGACTTGCCAATGGTTAATTCGCCGATCACAATTTTTGGAATATGTGCTCTATATCTATATGTAGTTTTATCGTTTGGACCAAAATTCATGCAAAATAGATCACCATTTCGAATAAAACCACTTCTAATTGTGTACAATGCATTTCAAATTGTTGCCAATATTTTTGTGTTGTTTTACGTAAGATTGTTTTTTTTTTTTAATTCATAAACTTTCCATAACTTTTGAACATTTCGATTTTTAGGGTATAAAAGTGACATACTATCAAGGTACATTTAATTTGAGATGTAATTCACCAACTCCACGGACTGACACAAGTTCACTTGCAAGGCAGCAAACATTGGCCACATATTGTTATTTCCTGCTCAAAGTTCTCGATTTATTAGATACTGTGAGTTCGAATTTCGTCATATGGTCGTGTGCCTGTACAGGCGATTTTCATTGGATTATTTTCTCTCTGTTTCTTTCAATAGATTTTCTTCATTGTTCGCAAGAAATTTAGCCATGTAACATTTTTACACGTTTATCATCACACGGGCATGGTATTTGGTACATATGTGGCTTCAAGATTTTGTGTCGCTGGTCATGGCACGATGCTTGGACTTTTAAATTCTTTTGTACACGCCGTTATGTATGGCTATTATTTGTTCAGTGCGGTCAACGAAAATGTTAAAACATCGATTTGGTGGAAAAAATACATTACACAAATTCAACTCATTCAATTTCTTTTGCTCGGGCTACACTTTTCGTTCGGGATTTTTGCGAAAGATTGCACCTATCCAAAACTATTTTGCATCGTGATGGTCCTTCAAAACTTGTTTATGATGTTCATGTTCGGTGATTTTTATATAAAAACATACATAAAAAAGAAACGTGTTTGATTTACTATTGTAATTTACTTTCATGAAAATAAAATCCATTTTCTATTTTAATTGAAAAAAAAAAAAAAAATGTCATGAATAGAAAACAAAACCATTCAATTTCCGAACATAGCATTTTGTTGAATTGTTTATTAGAAAAAGCAAATATTTTGAAATAGAATGCGAGAGTAACAATATTCAATATATAGTATATATAATATTAATTCCAGATCGATATTAAAAAGAAAAATTAACAGATAGATGTAAAATTTAGCATAATTTTGAAGTACTCGATGGTGCGTTCGTATAAATAAGGCTCTTTTTCGACCAGAACACAATCATAATCGTCCAATAGCACAAACATTTTATGGTTATCCGGATGATCTGGAATATCTTTTATTTCATAGCGTATTTTCAGTGCTTTGCAAACCAAATCGACTTTGTCTTTATTACTTCCGATTTCAGCACCGTTGCTATTCAACACTTCAAATGCTGCTTCACGATCTTCCGCGGTAAGTCGCATAAAATTATTATGTCGATCACGTATTCGAATCGATATTGGTTTAATGTCACATTTTTTTAATTCACGATATGTTCGAAATGTTTTTTCCGACGGTTCTGAGTCCATTGTCGCAATTTGTTGTTGATTCTCATTTTGCGAAATATTTTGGACGAACGATAGCATTGATTGAGCCGCAATTTGTTTGGCCCCCTTTTTCGTAGACGATGTTCCAGTACATTTTATATGAGCCAATTGACATACCACTGTGAATTCAGGACGATGAGGCTCCCCACATGCTTGCATAACGTCAAATCTGCGATAAAATTTAAATCATTTCAAAACCATGTAAATTTAAAACAAATTCATACTTCGCGACCGGCCATTGGCGTTGAACACAAATATCAAGCAATGTGCCCACTGCATCCTGATCAGTTGATGGTCGTGGTGTTGGGGGAACTTTTAATAATCGACTTTTGAATTGATCCTTTTGCGCCAATACACCTTCAAAATAATTATCGATTCAGTAAAACACATATACAATTTCATTTCATACGCATTATGATTAACTTACTGATAAGCTGTGCACTGGCATCGTGCTTTGCTTCACGCTTAGATCGACCCGACCCTTTGGCATATAAACCAAATGCCGAAACAATAAATGAGAACATTTTTGGATCTGTTTCGTGTGGTATGCTCTCATAGATAGGAGCGGAGCCATTATCCTGGACGCAGAGCTCTTGTAAAACACTAACTGGAGTTTTTTCCGACATATCTTCTTCGAATGGTCTTTTCGCTGGGAATAAAAATAAATGATTTAATGTTATTATTGGAATTTTGCATGTGCAAATATTTATAATTGTATTATTTAATAAACACATGCAACGCTGGCATAATATTATGAAAATAGTTTTAAAGTTACTTACCCTTTTAGCATACATACAATAAACAGACGTCAATCGGCTACTCTTCGCACTGTCTACTGTGTTCAGAACGGAGCAGTGAGAGAGTGTGTGTGCGAAAGAAGTGTCATTGAAGTCAATTTCGAAAATAAGACATCGGGCAACTTTGTTTTTATTCAATGATATTCATGTATGTTTGTATTCAAAACATAAGAGCTCTGGAACATTCGAATAAAGTGAAATGTCGTTGTAGTTGTTTGCAAATTGTATTTATCGGTATTTATAGAATGTATGTTTGGAAATGTTATCAATGTATATATTTTGAAAAAATTTTTGAAAACATTTACCATTGAGTCATGGTTGAAATATGTATGATTCTTTGTAAGAAATTGAATGATGCAATGAAAATATTTTCAATGAAATAAACACTTTTTGGAAGATTTTTATTTTTGTGAAATTTTGTTTGTTTATAAATTATAATTGAGCGACGATTTTGAAAATAAAACTAAAACTGGGGGTTTTCAACTTGCATATTTAAATTATCAAACTTCATCAATATTTACCAAATTTTAATTTAGTATAAAGGGAATTTCCATTAAAATTATTAAAATTCTGCAAAAACATTGTAAGACATTTACTTTTCTTTCTATCATCGTGTATCACAGAATGTTGCCCAGTTCTAATAAAAGAAATGATTTTTTTTTTTTCGAAAAATGCACTTCTTATGGTCATTTAACGATACCGACATTATGTACTCACAACCTCAGGTCAACGAACTGTATCTACGAACCATTTGCCTGTCGTACTGTCATATATAAAGTGATCTAAGGATAAACGTCACCTCAAATGATTCACCAAGGGGCGTAATTTCAAATCAGAGTACATAATAAATTTTCATTTTTTGGGTTAAAAAACAAATTCAAAAAAAAAAATGGATACCAGTCTATGTATTTCGGATGGATATCCATCCGAGATATTTTAGAATATCTGGATATTCAACGCAACTGCACAGCGCCAGAGCTGTGTGCGTCGCAAATAGAATCTACGGTATGTCGCGACGTATATGTCTATCAAGTGCCGCACGTACACAGTCACACTGTGTCTGTATTTTACGTGTAGCGACATACCGTAGATTATATGTGCGACGCACACAGCTCTGGCTCTGTGCAGTTGCGTTAAATATCCAGATATTCTAAAATATCTCGGATGGATATCTATCTGAAATACATAGACTGATGGATACTGAAACAGCCGATGCTTTGTTCATGGGCTCAAGTCCCTTTTTTATCGTAAGTTAAAATCATTGATTTTTCAGAAAGCCGAATGAAATTCAATTTTATTATAAAAAAAACTACAGTGCCGTCAGAAAATTTGAGACCAAGCTCATTTTTTTCATACAATTTCATACAAATTGACGATTTTTTGGAGCACTATTTAATATATTTCGGAAATAGCTAGACCCATAATTTTTTGTACACTTATTATTTTATTTACGGAGAGTAAACTAGTGAAGTTTTACCAAAAAATATCTACGCGCTTAAAAAATATCCGAGGTTTGCACTTTCAAGTGTGAAAAATGACACATTTTGTATGAAAAATAATCCTTTTTCAAACTTGAAAGTGCAAACATCGGATATTTTTTAAACGCGTAGATATTTTTTGGTAAAACTTCACTAGTTTACTCTCCGTAAATAGAACAATAAGTGTGCAAAAAATAATGAGTCTAGCTCTTTCTGAAATATATTAAATATTGCTCCAAAAAATCGTCAATTTGTATGAAATTGTATGACATTTTTTTGCTTGGTCTCAAACTTTCTGACGGCACTGTATATTTGCAGATATTCAACTTATTGATAATCATACATGGTTCTTCTGGTCTTGCATTTGATGCGAAATATTATGAATTTCTTCGTAAGTAATTCCCACATACAATTGTAGGCTTAGAACTGGTTTTTGCAAAATAATTGTTCGAATACAATTTGTACAATTTATGGAGAATTATTTGACTGAGTCATCAATTCTACTAACTGTCGCTGGGTGCATTGTGATCTTTGTCGTAATATTGGGTTGTTTTTCAGGAAAAAAGGCGCTTCTGGTGAGTCATGTTTGAAATAATATTATCTGGAGTTTTTCACTCAAAAATTGTGAAATTGTCCACTATTTAATTTTTAGTTTTCAATCATACTCCTTGTGATTTTTGCGCTTAAAATTCCCGCTATAGTATTGACTTTCTATAAAGGAGCTGAATTAGAAAACGGTTTAGATGAACGATTCAACGAAACGCTGAGAAAATCTGAAAGCAACAAAGAAATGTATGATACATGGGATCAATTACAAAGAGAAGTAGGAATTTATTGGTTTTGAATTTAAATTTGTTCTAGTATAAGTGTTGCGGTATTTATTTGCCAAATGATTGGAATGACTGTGGTTTAATTATACCAGCTGCTTGTTGTGACAGGCCGATGGCGGATAAATACTATAAAGGTTCAGCATACACGAGTGGTTGTTTGCGTACTTTCAAAGAAAAGGTCAGCGGATATGTTGCATGGACTGAGGGATTAACAATTGTTTATGTCGTGATACAAGTAAGTGGATGCATAAAATTCAAATAACCTGACATTTTGAATTTTTAATGAGAAGCAGAACATTAATTTTAATTTAATCATTAGTCAGAATCAGTTGTCAACTCATATTTTGAAAATGTCCCTTTCAGCTTATGTTTGGTGTATTGTTCTTGTACCTTTTTTCTTGGACTTTGGACGATCAGGCTACTTTGATCTTTGATGCCTAAAAAAGAACTTTCACTATTAACGGGTGATGCGTCATATATTGTTGTTAGCGATGAATCTGAATGATATTTGTGAATAATTTTACCAAAATAAAAACAAAAATTGAATTTCTGGAATTTTAAAATAGTTTTGTAATATTTTATTTCTTTACATTTGAGCAATAGTTTTTATTAATATTAAACTCGAGTTTAAAGCATAGTTATATTTTGTCCTACGCGTTGGCAAATTTCAGTTAAGTCATGCTCTCATGCATGTAAATTTGGAACGCGATCGATTTTTTTTTTAAATTATCATATTGGAATATTTCGACCAGGCGATCAAACAACATTGGCCAAACGTCATAAAATTAAAACTAGATAAATACTTTGTCAAAAATTAATTTAGCATTGTTTTTAAGTAATCAATGACTTTGTCAAACAATGTATCAATATGATCAATGACAACACAATCGTAGTCCGTTTCTAACAAATAAAAGCGTTCAAAGTTCGGTGGCGAAGACATTGGTTTTATCTCATATTTCAAATTCAAGGCCATGCAAGCATTATCTACAACTTCCCGTGAAGTAAAAAAACCACGATGACTTAGCACATGTTTTGCATAGGACTGATTGCTGGGCGGCAATTTTGAAAAGAAGTTTTTCCTATAGCGTAGTCCATTTTTAACCGGTTGAAGATACGGTTTTTTTAAACGCCGATAATCCGCCAGAATTTGCTCAACGGACGGAACGTCTAGGACTGGAATGGCATTCGGCACGCTTGTACTTGTATCACTGTAGACCGAAGAGAGTTCCGTTTGGCTCGAATCGGATGTCGTTGAGTTCTCTTCGAGTACAATGCCCAATAATTCTAACATTTTGTTGGCCGCAATTCTTCTGGCCACTTTTTTTGTGGTGGCCTTTCCATGTGTATGCAGTGTTCCGACTCGACAAGAAAAAGTGAACTCCCTCTGATGATCTTTTCCAATCACTGACTCCTCTGTCAAACTATAAGAATATAAGAGCAATATTGACAAAAGTGGCGGGAAAATAGACAATAATTCAAAGTCATACACGGGCGACTGAAGTTTACGCTGCTGACACACGGTTATCAATGATCCATGTGCATTATCATTTTGCGGTGTCAATGAGTGGTCGGTTTGAATGGTAGTGGGCGGCGACGACGGCGGCGGTAGCGGTGGCGGTGACGGCAATTGAACAGCACCTTTTACTTTAAATTCATCAAGTTTCATCAATTTATCTGTGCAAAAGTAATCAGCATTTTTTTGTTTTCATTCTCAAAATGCAAAGGTGCTCAATGAACTTGAATCTTATAATTACCGATGAGCAATTGACTGGCAGCATGCTTTGCCTCTTGTTTGGTGCGTCCAGTCCCCGTTGCCTTCAAATTGAACGCCTTCACATCGAAACTGAATAGAGTGGAATCGGAACTATGAATAACGACAGTGTATTGTGGGGCTGCAACTTTTCGTTGTGCACATAATTCTGATAATAAACTAATGGATGTTTTAACACTCATTTTTGGCTGATACGATGGTTTTTTTTTTTTGAATTCACTTCATTTCTTCTGTCTTGTGCCTACACAAATGCCCGAACTCTACTTCGCCCGCAAGTTTAAGTGACGTAGCCCAATAGTACCAATCACTTTCTGAACTACTGCGATCATTTCACAATGCAATGATATCAAAACAAAAAAAAAACGCAGCGATAGTAACACTATTTCGAATACATAATACTTTTGAATTTTCGAACTGTCAAAATATAACCACACATATATACACAGTGACATTGTATAGTTTCACAGTTGGTTGCAATACGTGTTGGTTGAAACACATCAATTTATTAGGACGTTTAACAATTAGTATAAAGATATATACCGTAAAAGAAATAAAATCTGTTGCAAAATGTCGTCAAAAGATGAGCAAATCAAACATATTGACAAAGATTTGGATTTATCGAATGCCGGACGTGGTGTTTGGTTGGTAAAAGTACCAAAATATTTGGCAAATAAATGGGAAAAAGTGCCTGGTTCAACTGAAGTTGGTAAATTGCGTATCACAAAACAATCAGGTCAAAAAGCACAAGTTTCACTTTCACTGAATGAAAATATCACAAACATTGATCCACAAGAGCCAATACCGAAAGAACATTTTTTAGACGTATCGGTTGTTACAAAACAAACATTAGGCGTATTCTCACACACAAGTCGTAAGTGTAAATTAAACACAATTTTTCCATTGATAAGAGGCATTTAATTCTATTAAATTTTGGAACATTTTCAGAAGGTAAAAGTGACGAAACAAATGGAGAAAGTGAAAAATTGTACATGGAGGGACGAATTGTTCAAAAGCTGGAGTGTCGCCCGAATGCGGACACAACATATATGGCATTGAAGAAGGAATCGATTCGCCGTGCAGCCGAACCAGAAAGAAAGGTCCAATCACTCGAACGTATTGTACAAAATTTCAAACCAATTTCAGATCACAAACACAACATCGAATACCGTGAAAAACGAAAGGCCGAAGGCAAAAAGGCTCGTGATGACAAAGCTGCCGTTCAAGATATGCTATTCAATGCATTCGAAAAGCATCAATACTACAATATCAAGGATTTGGTGCGCATCACAAACCAACCCATTGCCTATTTGAAAGAGGTGCTCAAAGAAGTTTGTGATTACAACATGAAAAATCCACATAAAAATATGTGGGAACTGAAGAAAGAATATCGTCACTACAAGACTGAAGAGAAAAAAGAGCCGGCCACACAATCAACAAGCGCCACACTGTCGGACAGCGATTAATTCAATTTCGATCAGACTCATTTGAAAATCGGTCACGACCATCATCGCTCGTATGAATCTATTATTTCCATTATCTATTTTCTACCATTTTCGAGAATACCATGTAACTATAACATACGTAAGGTGTAAAAAAAGCACTTCCAAATAACATCAAATAAATCGAATAAACGTGTGTTTCTTTTTTGTATATTTATTTTATAACATTTAAAATATGCTACATATCAGATATTGTTTGGTGAGAAATGTCTACCAAATTGCTCTTTGAACGCCCGACATTTTATTGTAATCGCTCAATTCACGGAAAACAAATCGACTTAGATTCCAACGGAGAACAGTTCCTCGGGCACGAGATGTGATCACACACCGATTGGTCAGATGTGTTATTGACGATCTGTATGGAAGTGCGGCGATCTCTTCATCGGCTACCTGTTGTAATTCACGCGGTAAAATTGTATTTTTTCTCAATGCATTGATACGAAGTCGCGTTATATTCTCTTTCTCCACCAACTTGCGTCGCAAATAGTCCCGTTTCATACGTGCATCGGCCCATTTTGTTCGGATTTGTTGCAACTGGAAAACGACAATTTGAGGTTAGGTTTTACATACATTTTTGTGAAATTCTTTTTGCATAATATTTTCCAATAATTTTTAAATTAATATTAAACTTACTTGGATTCCTGATGGAATTGCAGCAATTGGTTGTGGTTTTAACAAAAACGAAGTCAAGGTATTGAGAATCATTTTTTTTTCTCGAATGGAATTTCTTCGTACTTTTTTTCTGTAGAGGGTTTTGCACCGAGTTTCTGACAGCTGTCAACATTTGAGCATTATTGCTGCAAAAGTGTCTATTGTTTTATTTGACATTCGATGTTTTGGGCATTGATTCGAACTATTTTCAAGTCGTCATTTTCGAAAAATAAAAGAGGCAAATCTTTCTGTTTTATATTCCGTTTATTTTGGTAAAGAAATTTTTTTTTTTTTTAATTGGTCCAAATGTTTATATCTCTCTACAAATATTCTAGTTATGTTTAACAAAACACCAAACAGAACAATATTCAATGCCACATAAAACCCAAATGACAAATCAGGAGATATCCGCTCGCCACAATCAAACTACCGATCATAGCGGGAAATGCGATTCTGTGGAAAATAACAAATAAAAAAAAAAAAATTTTTTTTTTTTTGATGAATCATTTGATGAATTTACTTGAAATAATTCATGAACGTTAGCTCATATCCATACTGCGCAGCCACACCAGCGCAGATAATGTTTGCTGAAGCACCTATTAATGTTCCGTTTCCTGTACAAAATGATTGTTTTTTAATTGTTAAAATTTTATTTGAAAATGTAAAAAAATAATCGATGTTATTTACCGCCCAAGCACGCGCCAAAAGAAAGCGCCCACACAAGCGGCTGCAACGGTAAATTTAATGCTGCTTTGCTTGCCAATGATATGATAACACGAATCATCATTGTTGTCAATGGAATGTTATCGACGAATGCCGACGCGATGGCCGAAACCCATAAAACAATGAGAATGGCAACGGCCAAACGAAACTCTTCACTAACCATCAGAATAATGTTTTCCGTTTGATTTCCAATCCAGTCAATAAGACCTAATTTGGCTAATGATTCCATAAGAACAAATAAAACGGCAAAAAATACCAATGTTGTCCATTCAACACGCTCAAAAACTGTTTCCATGTTTTGCGGATCGGACAATATCAATAATAAAATTGCACCCAACAGAGCGATCCAACCGAGCGAAATTCGTTCGATATATGGCAATGAATGGAAAAAGAAGCAACCAATAACAAATGTTAAAGCAATCGATGATTTTATCAAAAGTAATCGATCCCGAATTGGAAACTGCAAACGAAAAATAAAAATAAAAAAAATACATAATCATAAAAACTGTATGAAGTTTAACCTTTTTCTCCAAAGCCGCTAAAGTTTGTTTAAACGTCTCGTTCGACATTGATCCACATGTTATTTTTCTATGCAGCTCATGCTCAAGTCTATCAATTTTCCGCATCAATATGTTACGCACCAAATTTTCATCTTTTGATGAAGATGAAAGGGTCTGTGCGGCTCGTTTCCAAATCACAATGTCATTTTTCAACTCTTGAATATCCTCTGGTTCATTAATGCGTAAATCATTGATCGTACGAAATTTGTAGCGCAATTGGAAATACGTTTGAACCATAACAAAAACTGCACCTATTGACATGTGAATGGTGAAGTTTAAAAAATTCACTCCCTAAATGAAAAATAGAGAAAATTCAATTGCAAATAAAATCGGATTTTTTTCTAAATACGTACACTTTTAACGATTTGTGTGTTTGATGCGATGATTATATTTGGTGGGTCACCTATTTATTAATATACATTGTAAATTTTAAAATATTCAGCGATTTTACGCATGTTTTGCAATCGATTCTTACCAACAGGTGTCATTGAACCTCCTGTAAGTTTAATGGTCAAGAAGAAAAGCATCAAAATCAAGATTGAGAATCACAAAAAAATTGGTAATAAGGACTTACCGATATTCGAGAATATGATCATTGACATGAGGATCGGAATGGGATCCAAGTGCATTATTTCGCACAGACGAATTGAAACGGGTGTCATTAGTAGTAGCGTGGTCACATTATCTAGAATCGCCGAAAGAACACTTGTAAATAGACACAAGCAGTAGATCAATGACCATGGTTCGCCTTTTGTAATCTGTTCATTTTTCGAAATTAGACAAAATAATTATGTTCGAAATTAGACAAAATACAGACATTTGAATTAAAAACTCAGCCTCAAATGATTTAGAGACATACCTTGAATGCATAAACCGCTAAATAATCAAAAACGCCTGTTTCTGATAAAATGCCAACTAAAATCATCATTCCAAATAATAATAGTAATGTTTCAGTATCGATCCAAGATAAAATCTCTGGCATAGTTGGACGTTCATTCATCAGTGATAAAATGACGATCGAAGCGGTTGAAGCCAATAAAGCGGCAAAGGTCCGATCTATGATCTCCCAAATGATCATTATGTACAAACATAGTATCAAAATCGCAGCGTAAATAATACCCAACGACTTATCAATGGGCGACGGATCAAAAGCCACATTGATGGGAAAATTGATGGGCACATTTGTGGAAATTTCCAGCGTTAGAACTGTATCATTCCAAGTGTTTTGTTGATAAATTTCCTTATTCAAGTGGAATGTATGTGATTTTTGAACAACTTTTGTTGTGTCAATTTGGTTGATGTTTGGAATAATTGGTATTTTAACGAAATTATAGTGATACACAATGAATGATAAATCAGAATGATTGTTTCCAACATCCTTCACATGGTCATGAATCAATTGAACGTATAAACGCATATAATTCGTTGTATTTATGCTTTCATCGGCAAATGCACCGTAAACGATGATTGCAAACCTCGATTCAAATGGCATTTCGTTTAGAACATAACCTATGAAATTAGTGCAATTAGCTGTATTCCAAACAAACGTAACAAAACATTCGATTACTCACTTTTATTTTGACCAATCGGTATTGCCAATGGATGAACGTTTAGAATCTTTTCATCTCTTGACATTAAAATTGCCGTGAACATGATCCAAACAATAGTTAGCAATGCAATCTTTATCATTTTGAATACGTTTTGTGACTGCAATAGGAAAATGTGAAGATTTTAGTATTATTATGTGATCCGAAATGATAAATGTTTACATGAGAAACGTAAATAACGTACCGTGTTTGTCTTATTTTGTTGTATATCGTCAGCAATTCGGTGATGATTGTCATTTGAGTGCACCACATTTTCTCTACGAATGCATTACACAAAAGACACAATTGATTTAATTTGATTCACATATTCGTTGTGATGCGAAATAAATACTCACCCATTTTCAAAATGATTTCTGTTTTCTTCTTCATGATTGTCCTTCAAAGTTATTGTAGCGAATTCACTATTTACTATCGAATCATGTGAAATATTTTCGAAGTCTGCTGTCATCGTTTCGGTCTCCAGTTCAGATTGACCTATATGACAGATAAGTGAAAAAAAAAAACGTTGAAATGAAAACCAACAGTCAATACATTCAATTTACATACCATTTGTCCGATCATATTGCTGTCGAAATGATATAAATGACGGATCACAACGAATGCTCTGTGGCAATTTTCTCCAGATTTCAACAGCTTCTTGCGTTACTTCAAAGTCAGTGCTAATTGATAAGTTTTCAGTTAATAATTTTGAGACAATGACGTCTTTAGAACCGATTATGAAATTGATTACATTCTTACCCAGCAGCCGAATACAATTCCAATATTTCATTGGTGCGACGCCGTCGTAAAATACGTTTATTAAATAATCCCATATTTTATGATGATTTTTATCCCTTTCTATTTAACCGATGTGTGTTGATAATGAATTGAATGAAAGGCTTTATAATACATTGAAGACGTCAAGTTAAAAATAGCACAAATTTCACAACCGCTAAACTCAATAGATCAGAAACTATAAAATAATGATGAAATGCTTTAGAAGAGTTTCTTTGCAATAAAAAATCATTCATTCACACACTGACGGAACAATGTATTGACTTTGATCAATTAATTTAATCAAACTGCACACACAATACAATCAATGTAAAATGAGTTTTATCAAGGCAAATGAATGAAAACAGATTCCAGAAAATAGATAATTTATTGCAACCAACGACGACGACTACGACAACAAAAGAATGAAATACAACGATTGATAAAAATGCTCAACTCTTTCTCTATTCAACGCTTTTTTGCGGTTTATACATTTGTCGCTGACATAGAAGCCAATAAAAACCAATGATAACTGGCAAATTGCTGAATATTCTCATCGATATTTGATCGCTTTAAAAGTTTATGTCACATAGGGCTGTCGGATTTCGTTTCTCTCTCGGATTTTATCGTGCTAATTTGGGATATTCAACGCCATTATTTGACATTTTTGTGGATTTTCACTCAAATTATAGATACAGGTATATTGCAGAAATACACTTTAATTTGAAATTAAATTGTCTTTCTGCAGTGGTGCTGTATCCAGTGAGTAAAAATCCACGAAAATGTCAAATCATGGCATTGAACATCCCAAATTAGAAAAATGAGGGAGACGAAATACGACAGCCCTAATGTCACACACGCACGCAATAGATTCATAAAATTTGAATGTTTTTTTTTATATGTTTCGTTCAAGACACAATACATTCATTAAAATACATGTATTCAGAAATTGGACAATTCTTATCGAATATTAAGTTAAATTTTTCAATCACCAGATCATATATTACACTTTTAAAGTATGATATTGAGATACAGTTCAACTTCTTATTTTAGAAGGCGTTACGAACAAAGTTTGTGAGTATACTGAGGCATATATATCTGTTTTTTACTTCAAACAAAATTGACCGAACAATTTCAAAAAATTGTGAAATATACAGATCTCTAAAGTATTGAGAGGACTCAGACGCAGTAATATTTAGTGATCAATTAGCATTTATCAATTTATCACATAGCAACCAATTTGATCCAGAGTTTGAAATAAATATGAGTGTGTGTGGATTTATAACTTCAGGTAAATTATGAGGACAAGTAATAATTTTTTATTGAATTCACAAGATGATGCTAAAATATTTATTTATGATTGAACTACACTTGATTTGTGGTGCTTGCACCTGAATTTATCACCTATTATGAAATTGTAATGAAAAAATACCTTCTTAAATTTACGTGTATAAAATTGGAACAAAAATATCTTTTTTCTAAAATATCCGTGAAATAATGTCTCTTTATTCAAAACAATTACATATTGAGGGTCATCAATGCCATGAGAAAACGACGTGCGATACTAGCAAATATCCACTTATTACACATATGCTCATGATCATAACGGGGAATCCAATCCTACAAAGAAAGAATTTCATGCATCAATTTGTATATCAATTTTTGTGACAAATTGAAAACAAATACTTGAAATAATTCATAAATGTGATGCGATAACCATTTTGTTCGGCGACACTAGCTGCAACAATGTTTGCTGAAGCGCCGATCAGCGTTCCATTTCCTATAAAGAATAAATCTTACCTTAGGATAATTTATAAGAAATTTTGTAGAAAAATTTATATCCACCTCCCAAACAAGCACCAAACGACAATGCCCATATTAACGGTTGCAACGGTAGATTAATTGATTTCGTCTCTGCCAATGATATAGTGATTCGAATCATCATTGTCGTTAGTGGTATATTATCAATAAAAGCTGAAGCAATGGCCGACACCCATAATATGATAAGAATTGAAATTGCCAACCGAGATTCAGCATCTACTGATAGAACGAGATTTTTAACTTGATTTCCAATGAAGTCGATGAAACCAAGTTTTTCTAATGACTCCATCAACACAAACAAAACACCGAAAAATATCAATGTTGACCACTCAACGCGTTCCAAAGCAGACTCAATATCTCGACGGTCGTATAAGATTAATAATAATATCACGCCAAGCAAAGTGGTCCAGCCGAGCGATAATCGTCCAATGTACGGAAGTGAATGAAGAAAAAAACAACTTAGAACGAATCCAAGTGCAACAACTGATTTTATCAATAGCGGCCGATTGCGAATGGGAAACTATAAAAAAAACCATGTATATAATAAATTTAATCATAATCCAAATCCAAATTTCTTATCACTTACTTTCTGCTGAAGTTCCTTCAATGTTTCTTCGTATGTTTCCTTCGAAATGAAACTATTTATAGGAAGTACGTTTTTCGTTTCAGATGATTGCGCTTCATTATCAATATGCAATTTCTGAAGGTCATCCCGATCGTTGACGAGTAAATCGCTGACCGTCATAAATTTACAACGCAATTGTAAATATGTTTGGAAAATAACTAAAATCGCTCCAATCGACATATGAATGGAAAATGTCAAAAAATCAACACCCTACACAGTTATTGAATTCAAGAAAAAAAATACATTTAAAAAAATTGGAAAATTTAAGCCAGGAAACTTTACATACACTGTTAACGACATGGTCATTTGTTGCGATGATTATATTTGGGGGGTCACCTATCGAAAAATATTGGAAATCTGAAAATATTCGGAAATTTCACACATGTTACGTAAGAAACTTACCAATTGGTGTCATTGAACCTCCTGTAGTTAAAAGAAAAAATCAAAATTTTAGGTTGATGATTTCCAAAATGTTTATAATATTTCTAACTCACCGATATTTGAGAAAATAATCATTGCACATAAAATTGGTATCTGTGAAAATATTGGGCAATTAACTTGATCATTTTTAAATGGTCGATATTGGAAAATCAAGAATAGGTACCGGATTCAGTTGCATCACTTCACACAGACGAATTGAGATGGGTGTCATTAACAATAACGTAGCCACATTGTCCAACATCGCCGATAAAAATGCAGTAAACAGGCATAAGCAGTAGATGAGAGGCCAAATTTTGCCTCTTGCAATCTCCATAAAATGAACGAAAAAATTCGAGTTGATAAATTTTGCATAAAAATAGGATACATGTCAAAATTGTAATAAAACGTTTAATTTTTTATAAATTTGTCATTGGCACCGCTGAGGTGCTTGCATTTTCCTTATAAGTGCTTCCCTTTCTCAGTTATGGCACTTGAATGAAAATGATATGGAATAAGTGTGAGCCCAGGTGTGAGCACTCACTAGTGCCTGTACTTCTTCGGTGGCAATGACAGTTTTTCAAATAAACCTTGAAAGCGCAAACAGCCAAATAATCAAAAACGCCGGTTTCCGATAAAATTCCAACCAAAATCATCATTCCAAATAACAATAATAAAGTTTCTGCATCGATCCAAGCTATAATCTCTGACATTGTCGGACGTTCGTTCATCAGTGTTAAAACGGCCATTGAAACGATTGAAGCAATCATTGCCTGTTTGCGAAAAAAGTATCAAATTAAATTGACCATCCAATGATTGGTTTATACTGTGTATAACTTGCCGCAAATGTTCGATCAATAAGCTCCCAAATAATCATTATGTACAAACCAATCAATATAACCGTTGCATATATGACTCCGATCGATTTGTCAATTGGCGATGGATCATAAGCAAAATTGATGGGAAAGCTAATTGGTAAATTCGTGGTGATTTGAACCTCCAAATTTGTAACATTCTCTCTGATATTTTCGAAGAAATTCGATTCCAAATAGAACGTATGACTTTTCTGGATTTGTTTTGTCGTATCGATTTGACTGATATTATCAATTATGGGAATTTTTACAACCTCACTATTATAAAGCACAGACGGAATACTTGTATTCTTATTACTTTCTTCCGATTGTACTATTGGCTGCTGAAATTGTATATACAAAAAGTTGCGTGTTGTGCTAGCTTCATCGGCAAATGCACCGCGCAAAATAACACCAAACCTTGATTTCAATGGTAACTCATCAAGCGTGTAGCCTATGTTGAGACATCACCAAACTAAATGAGATTCATTGCCATTTTATTTCAAGCGAAAAACTCAAAAACTCACTTTTACATTGGCCAAATGGGATCACTAGCTGATGATATGTGAGCACTTTTTCGTCCGTTGACATCAAAAGTATGGTAGATATTATCCAAATCAAAGTTAGCAGTGCTATTTTTAGTAAATTCCATAGTTTCTGGAAGATAGAATTCAAATATCGATTGGAAAGTTGAATCAAAGTTGAGTAATGAATGATTCATTTGTCATTACATTTTTCCGCTTCCATTCTCTACTTGCATTATCAATTTCCGAAATCGCTTCACTGTGAACAGTAATTTGTCAATAACATTTGTTTATATCACCAAAAATTTCCAAAATAAAAAAAGTACCTATTTTCGTCTCTGTTTTCACTTTCAATTTTGCTGCGGAGATTCTTCGTGCTATTTTCATTTTCGGTACATGAATTCAGATGTACTTCATTTGACAATGAATTACACGTATCAAATGAACCATAGGTCACATAGCTGAAATATGATTTGGTTTTTTTAGCGTGCGCTTTGAATGTTTTGTTTTGAACAAAATTAAGCATGCGTTTCAAGTTGTTTTATTTGGCGAAAATATGCTTATAATTCATCACGCGCTTATGTAAATGAATAACAATAGATCGGTATGAGCAAACTACGTAGTTTGGAATTGATTTGTTTTGCTCCAATTTGTTAAAATAAATGTTTAGATTTTCCACTCACCCATCGCTAGAATCCGATCCCGAATTCAAATCTTCGTTCGAATTATTCATGTGTAAGAATGGATTCATCTTGAGTAAGTGCAATATTTGTCTAATAATCAATTATATGCACTTATGAATAGATGTAATATTATTATGTGAACTATTAACATTGATTAATAAAACTAAATTAAATACACAGATATAAATTAAATCAATGAACGATGCTACTTATTTTTGGAAACTTCGAGTAAATACACTATCATTTACTGTATTATGTAAGAGGGCACGTCAATTCACATCTCCAGGCAAATTATAACTGAATGTATTATTATCACAATTTCGTACAATCCAAAGATTTTTTAAGAAATTAACTATCAATAGCTTACTATTGCGTGCATGTTTTTGAATTGATTAACGTGACTTGTAAACATGTGATATAGTTGAATAGACCTAAAAAAGGAGCTCATTTCAGAAGGCGTATGAGTCTTATCACAAACCGCTTTACTTGCTGCAGAGAGCACTTTTTTCCGTGCCAGTATAGCTATGAAATACGTACACTGCAAGTTGTAATCAATAATTATTCAGGGATGGTGCATTTTATGGCTCTGATTTTTTTTCTGAATGTATAATAGAAATATAATCTCAACTAATTGTACAAAATGCTTCCATTTTCATGTTACATTCTATCAAGCGTTGAGTGAATGATATAAAATAGTAAAATTTGCAATTTTTTTAAAACTTAATTTTCAGTTTTCACAGAAAAAAATGTTTTCGAACTACGCGTTTTGCTGCTGCATTTTGGTAATTGTTGACGTTTACTTTGATATTGTCAAATGTTTACATTTGACAATTCGAACTCAATCATATGTGCAAATGTGTGCGAGATAAGGTTGTCAATTGAATTAAACGAAACGTCATATGAAAAATAGTATTTATTTTCACTTTGGCTGAAAACATCAAAAATGATGTAAGCTTGGTTATAATAAATTTCTTTTGTATACAAAGAAATCCTATTGGCTTTATTCAAAATTAACAATAAAAAAAAAAGAAATGTCACCCGGTATAAGGCATCGGTTAACAAAAACCGACAATATTCAACCCCTACCAAAGCGAACATCGAAAAAAACCAAACCAAAGCCGGACACATTCGAACCAAAACCAAATAAGTAAGTTTATAATATATTTTATAAAAGAACAGTTTTTTCAAAAACATTTTCCTATGTTCTGAAAGAAGAATTAGCCCACTTTTATGTTGATACTCCTGATGTAATCTTCATTTGTCAAACCAAAAAAACCAAATCGAACAATTGATGTAATTTAATCGATTTCTTGTATTTCTAGTGAAAAAGTTGCGATAGCAAAGATGAGTTCATTGAGACCTGGAGCCGATGTTGCATTCAAAGCAATACTTAGTGCTCGTTTTTGTGCAGCAATTTGGTATTTCATCGCACAATATCATTATTTCGTACAATATTTATTAACTTCATCAACGTTTTTAGGTCTCACATAGCCGATTGTGACGAGACATTTAACTACTGGGAACCATTGCACTATCTTTTGTATGGTCATGGACTGCAGACATGGGAATATAGCCCGGAATTTGGATTACGTTCTTACACGTATCTTTTGTTTCATGGCGTTCCAGCTTGGTTTTACAATGTCATTTTCCATCCGAATCCGATGCTTATTTTCTATTTTGTTCGTTGTGTGCTTGGTTTGTGTTGTGCCATTATGGAAGCGTATTTTTACAAGTAAGATAGCAAAAAATACGTTGATTTTGATGAGAAAAAAAAATTCATTGATTTTTTTCAAAATTTCAGGGCAGTGTGTCGTGAATTTGGTGTTCAAATTGGTCGTATTTGGTTAATATTCCAGATATTTAGTGCGGGCATGTTTACTGCTAGCACTGCACTGTTGCCATCCTCATTTTCGATGTATTGTAGCTGTTTATCTCTTGCCCTTTGGTGGCATCAGCAATATCCATTGGCAATATTCTTCGTAGCGTTATCGACGATTTTAGGGTATTTGCCTTACCTTTAAGTTTTTTTTTAAATACTGATTTTTTTTTTTTTAATTTTTGTTAGGTGGCCATTTGCAGCCGTACTTGCATTACCACTTTGCTACGATGTTCTCGTGGTGCAAAAGAAGTATCGCTTGTTTGCATTTTGGTCAGCAATTTCCGGATCGACAATACTACTTCCAATGGTTGCCATCGATTCAAATTACTTTGGCAAATTGACCATTGCACCATTAAACATTGTTTTTTACAATGTTTTTACATCGCACGGACCAAATTTGTATGGGACAGAACCATGGTGGTTTTATTTGGTCAATGGTTTTCTAAATTACAATATCGTATGGGTGTTAGCATTGGCCGCACCGTTACTTCTTTTCATTTGCTACTTAGTTGTGCCGGCGAAAATAACACCAACACTGTATTTACCATATTACTTAAGCATGGGACCACTATACTTATGGCTGTTGATTTTTATGATTCAACCGCACAAAGAGGAACGTTTTCTCTATCCAATTTATCCAATGATTGCTTTATGCGGTGCAATTGCGGTCGATGCAATTCAAAAGCTATTTTATCGTTTACGTTCGGCCATCCGACCATTTCCGCCTGGTTCACATTATCTTGATCACACAATGTGGATTGCCGGTATGATAATGATTTTGCCATCGATTTTAGGACTATCACGTGTTGCATCCTTATATTATAATTACCATGCACCAATGGATGTTATGATGGAATTGAATGCATTCCATTTGCAACACACTCACGCACCAAATGTTCAGTACAATGTTTGTGTTGGCAAGGACTGGTATCGATTTCCTGGCTCTTTCTTTTTTCCAGCCGATAATTTTCGATTGCAATTTCTAAAATCCGAATTCAACGGCATGCTTCCGGCTCATTATGATGAAAGCATAAACGGTACGAAAATCGTCCATAACTATTTCAACGATATGAATAAAGAGAATGAAGCAATCTACTTTAATTACACGAAATGCCATTTTATATTTGATCTCGATGTGGGAAAGGCGACTGAATTGGAACCAAATTATGCAAAAAATACCAAAGAATGGACCATTTTAAAGTCGATTCCATTTTTAAATGCGGAAAAATCGCAAGCCATTTATCGAGCATTTTTCATTCCATATATCAGTGATAGATACGTTGAATATGGTCAATTCAATCTATTGAAACGAAAAAAATTCAATATTAAGAAATAAAGATAAACATATTATAAATGATTTTGTGTAAATTCAACACAAACAAACCAACTGTACGAAATATTAATTTTAAGTCATATGAATCGATTGAAAATGAAAACAAACATATTGTGTAAGAATTCTAAAACACAACGAAAATAAAAACAAAATATACACATAGCACATATAAATGTGAATATATTACATTTTTGGCATTTTAATACAGGGCAAAAAATAAGGAAATTCCACTCTTCAATTTTCTATATTTAGAGCGATACGTTTAGTTCATACTCAATTGCGAACAACTGTGAATCGTTCATATTCTCTTTGTTGCTGCTTCTTTTTCCTCAAAAAAAAAAATGACAAACATACGCAAACATAATCAATATTTTGTTCAATCGCGAATCTACATACATCATCTTCTCGTTAAACCACTGTAAGTATACAACAATTACGCTGTGTGTTCTAATGAAACTGCAGTTAAGAGATACATGATGTATATTGATGTGAAGTTTGTGCGCTTGTGTGTAGCGTATTCGTATGTTCTGTGTGCGTGTGAGTGTGTGTTTTAACTGTCAAAAACTTCTGTGTACATTGTATACAATACAAAATTGTGAGTACACAGCTACAGAATTTGTTCTGTTTTAGTTCAAATTACAACGATACCGGTGTGTTATTTGCACAATACTCTTTTTTTCTCAACTCCAAAGTCTGAAAAATCATTTTAATTCACACTTCAAAAGAAGAAAAAAACAGAATAAATATCGCGATTTAGGTGTCAATCGTTGTTGATTTTGTTAAACATTGTTGTTGTTCCTGAAAAGAAAAACTCAAAAGGCAAAGGGGAATTATTGCGAACAGAATTTAATTATATAATTCCAAACACAGAAATTCTAATTACATCAGAAAATACAGTATTCCGTTTATTTGAAGTCTGTGAAGTGAATTTGAGCGAAATTTGAGCGTGAAATGGCTATAAAAGTTGAATCTGACAGAATTGATGTGGACAAACCACTTTGGGATCAATCAACATTCGTTGGACGTTTTAAACATTTTGCATTCGTTACAGACCCGACAACATGCATGACATCCGAAGACGATTTGGACAAGGCAAAAAAATTGGTTGAACAATATCGGTAAATGATTTACTCGTTCATCGTTTGTATGTGTCAAAACGATGACCATTCATATGAAAATGTTGTTTTCGTGAATCACATGAAACTATAATTAAAAATAACAATTTACAAATTACAGGTTGGGCAAGGAGCCAGCATCGACAACGCGTGAACAAATTATTTATGCAAAAAAATTGTACGAATCGGCTTTCCATCCCGATTCGGGTGAAAAACAAAATCTTTTTGGCCGAATGAGTTTCCAAGTGCCCGGCGGAATGCTTATCACTGGCGCAATGTTACAATTTTATCGAACGGTTCCTGCAATCGTCTTTTGGCAATGGGTTAACCAGTCTTTTAATGCGTTGGTTAACTATACCAATCGTAATGCAAACTCACCTCTTAGTGTCACCCAATTGGGTGTCTCATACGTTTCGGCCACGTCGAGTGCATTGGTTGCAGCCATCGGTTTCAAAGGCTTTTTGCAAAAACATGCCAGTCCCTTTGCACAGGTAAATTAACGACGAATTTTTTTTTAATAAACTAATTTGAATTTAAAAATTAATTCAGAGATACGTACCATTTGCGGCTGTTGCTGCTGCGAATTGTGTGAACATACCATTGATGCGACAAAATGAACTGATTGATGGAGTAAGCGTTCAAGATGATAAGGGGAATGACATTGGAAAGAGTCGTCTTGCGGCCGTTAAGGGCATAAGTCAAGTTGCGTTTTCGCGGATTTTAATGGCAGCGCCTGGAATGCTTGTGCTACCAGTGATCATGGAAAAGTTGGAAAAATATCCATGGTTCAAGCGCATGAGTATACTACACGCACCTTTCCAAACTATGGCAGTTGGCTGTTTGTACGTACTTTTTTTCTTTAACATGGTTCTTTCAAACAAATCATTAAAAATTCATATATTTTTTGTTTCAGTTTGATGATCATGGTACCGACAGCTTGCTCTGTCTTCCCACAACAATGTTCTTTAGATATAAAAACTATTGAACGTTTCGAACCAGAGGCTTATAGCGAAATGGTGAAAAAGAATTCGGGAAAACTTCCGCAAAAAGTTTATTTCAACAAAGGCCTATAAGCGCACACTATACTATTCATTAATCGACAATAAACGCTTTTTGTTTGAGATTCTGTTTAAAACATTTAATTCTCAGCTTATTTAAAGTCACATTGAGCTAAAATGTTTTTAAAAAAATAACACGAAAAAAAATGAAAATTATTTTCAGCTTGCAATAGTGAAAATGCAGAGTGTTAAAAACACATATTTAGGAAACATTCATATTAACAGTAGTATGAAAGAAGAATGCACATGTTACGCAAGTTATCGTTAATAATCGTTTAGGTTTTACATTTTCAGCAAACAATTTACTGAACTTTAAACTATATTCATTGGACAATATTGTACATTTTATTGTAACTTTGATTTTTACCCTATATAATAGGAAAACCCATTGTAAACGTTTTATTCTTTGTCTATGATTTGAAATGATATTGATGCTTGGACACAAATAAAAAATATTCTTTAAATGCATTTAATACATTGTAACGATTCAATTATGCAATGAGCATCACGTGTTTATTGGAATAAATTTAAAAACAAATATTATCGCAAAATGTGTTTATTTTTTTATTATTTTTAACTGGTATTTTATTGGAACTGTTAGTAAAGACTTTTCCATTTACATTACTAAATAAAGAATTGTTAACTTTAATACTATTGTGGACAAAAAATACTGGTAATTTATTAATAAAATGAAAACTCTTTATTTATTCTTCAAAATCGATTTCATCGCCTTCAAAGTAATCCCCCCGGCTGCTGTGTGTGAAGTCACTTTCTGGTAGAGCCTTCAAAACACGTAGCGATTCGCGTTGAATCTCTTTTATCGACTCGAAACGGTGTCCCCGGAGTGGTCTTTTGAGTGTAGAAAATAGTTAAAAGTCACACGGTGCTAAGTCAGGCGAATAGGGTGGTTGCGGAACGATATGAGTTGAATTTTTGGCGAAATGATCACGAATAACTAATGCAGTATGAGCCGGTGCATTATCGTGATTTAAAAACCACGAGTTGTCTGTCCATAATTCCGGCCGCTTTTTTCGAATTGCTTCACGCAAACGACGCATAACACCCAAATAATATTCCTTGTTAACAGTTTGGCCAGTTGGCAGAAATTCTGAATGCACCACACCACAATAATCGAAGAAAACTGTTAAAATAACCTTGAGATTGGACTTGCTTTGTCGTGGTGTTTTCGGCTTTGATTCGCCTTTGGCACGATATTCGCTCGACTGACCGGCAGTTTCGGGGTCGTATGCATAAATCCAAGTCTCATCTCCCGTAATGATGCATTTCATGGCCGATTGATAGTCAGAAATCATTTCTTGATACACATTAACACGTCTCTCTTTTTCAAAGAAATTCAATGATTTTGGAACTAATCGAGCAACACAACGTCAAAGGCCTAAATGGTCTTTCAAAATTGTTTGAATCGATCCTTTTGAAATGCCAACAATATCGACAAGGTCTCTAGACGTTAATCGACGATTTTTGAGCACAAGATCTTTGATTTGCTTGACGTGTTTCTCATCAGTTGATGTTGATGGTCTTCCCGGCCGATGTTCGTCTTCAACGCGTTCTCTGCCTTCTTTGAACATTTTGTACCATTCATACGGGTGTATGATAATAGGGTTATTGTGCGACATGGCCTGATCACCGAAAGCTTTTGTAACATTCTCAACGTTTCTGCAGCAGAAATTTCATTCCGCATGCAAAGTTTAATGCAATATCTTTGTTCCAAATTTTCTGTCATTATGAAAATCGCCAAATGAAAATTTATCGGTGTAAACGAACAAACGTAACCAAAAACCTCAAGAGATATTGACATGAAATTTTGTACAGATGTCAAAGACAAAGCTACCAACCTATAGTCGAAAGGTTTTCATGATTACTTTTCCGCGCGAAATTTTATTAATAAATTACCGGTATTTTTTGTCCACAATAGTACAAACACGGCAATTGTTGAACTCGATTTAGACGGTAGTATGTACTTTATGTATTTTCTAGGGGAGAGAAACCAATGCTAGTTTTTCTAGTTTATAGCTAATTTACTAGTTTTTTAGCTAATTTACTAGTTTATTGCTTGAATAATCTAATAATGCTAATATTCCTTTATGAAATTGCTAGTTTTCTAGTTTTTTGTTCTGTCAAATGACAATCAAATGATTGTACTGACACAATGAAGTATTTTGACGTTTTGTTGTTCAGACATATTTTTATGTGTTTTGAATAAATATACACTTATAATAGTGAAAATTAGTTTAATTATTCTTTTTTAACACAAAATCGTGCATAAAGTACTTGTTCCTTTCAATAGTCGACTTGTAAAATTGATTTAGTCACCAAATCATGGCAGAATATCAAAATGGCGGATCAAATAATTTTTGCTAATTTTTCTAGTTTTTGCTAGTTTTTTTCTAATTTTCCTAGTTTTTACTTGAAATATAAAAAACTAGCTAATGGTTTCCGTCCCCTAGTGTATTTTATAGATATTTATTCAATTTTGTTGGTAATAGCCAAATCTGATAACATCCTCAAAGACACCATTCAAGCGTCGCTCATATTCCTGTTGACCTCTTTCGCTTAATTGACCAACTATACCTTTGGCATTCGCATCAGATCTGTCTGTTAATTCTCTTTCATCTGCTTGTGACACCTGTATTGCTATTGGCAGCAATAATAATGTATAAACTCCACATCTTTTAAGTTCTGATTGTAAATCATCGAATGTAAACAATTCATTGGGATTACTTCCCAATAGTTTTACAGTATTTGAGAATGATTCATAATAAATCCGAAGAAAGTTGTCATATTCTTTATCTCGCATCGTTTTATCGGTGGTTGTAAATATGTTTGTAATTAAATCGATTGCCGGTGAGCCATATCTTAACACTTGCCAATCTAAAATGCGTATATCTTCAGCAGCATCCTACAAGACGGAAAATGTAAAAATTAATCAATTAAATATAAAAAATTGGATAAATCTGTTATCTGTTTTATTGAAATTACATTCTTGTTGAATTTGTAGAGAATATTATTATTCCAAAAATCGCCTGAAAATCAAAATTTGTACATATTACTTTCCATAAATGGCAATTCAAAAGAAATAAATACCGTGGCATATCACACCAAAATAGCTTGATGACTTTTCGTTAAGACATGCGTCAAAGTATTCCAAAAAATTTTCTCTTATTTCACGCATGATTTTTTTATAATTTTCACATTTTAATGATTTAATAGCGTAATCATAGCTATTTCTAAACATATCAGGTACGCCTTTTGATTTGAATAAAACTTTATAAAGATCCGTAAATTGTTCAAATTCCGAAAATTCCTGTGGTCTTTGGTCTTTCATTGCAAACGAGAGCCCATGAAATTTACCAATTTCACGCATTGCTAGCCGGATATTTTCGATCGGTGATGTTTTAACTTTGGGCCACAATTTAAACTCTTGCGGACGAAGATCTTCCAAAATGATAGCATAATCACCATTTTCATCATCAATTATTGTTCCGTAACACTTTGGATATGCCAGAAATTGATCACTTTTTGATAGATTTTTTTCTTCTTGAAATTTGGCAAACTTTGGCATCACTTCGGTATAAAATGTCGCTTCTCGTCTAAAAATGAAATATGATTTGGATTTTCTAGCTGGATCATCGGTCAGTGGTGCTAATTTGCACATAATTTGCAACGTGTTGTCACAGCCACTTTCAGAAATCTTTATTCTTGCCAATTGACTCGTGAACCCATCGCCAATCTGTGAACCTGGCATCACTTCCATTGAATAATTAATAAAACCATTTTCACGGATTATTCGATCCAATTTACTTAAAACGAAGTTCGGTAACAATAATTCACTCATTTTTATGTGTTTTTGAACGTCCAAAATATGACTGACACGACAGCATACTTCACAAGTATTTATAAACCAATTCGAACTATACATATACATGTATATACATTGTACACACAAAAAACACCTAACTTCAATATGAGACGATTTGACATAAAATTCAGTTTATCCGAAGTCTTAGTAACAGCAAAAAAGACAGTTGAATTGAAATTTCGTATTTTCAACTGTCTTTTCTGCTGCTATATAGCATGCTTATATGAAACTCTCGGAGACTCGGTATAACGCACAAAATATTGAAAAAAAAAATTGTTTACCAAAATTTATTCAAAAATAAATGAGACTTCGGATAAACTGAATTTTATGTTAAATCGTCTCATATTGAGATTAGGTGTCTTTTGTGTGTATTATTAAAATGCTAGTCATCTATGCGACACGGGTAATTGTGCACAGAGAATAGAAATTAGAAATCATTGAATCAAACGATAAAATATATTGACATATTATATTTTGCTTATCTCTGTTTGCGATTTAGAAATGATGAAGCATTTTATTCAATGGTGAACATGTTTTTTTTATTGTTTTGAAGTGTGAGCTTGAAAACGCAATTCATTTTTAATTGAACACTGTTTTTTTTTTATTTCAATGGAATTTTAACGGACATACTCTGTAGAAGTAATGACTTGAAAAAAAATTGATTTGGTTATTCCCCTCTGAAGTCACATTTTGAAGTATAATTGGTATCCAATCAAACGCTCTGAAAATGAGTATTTGGGGATTTTTTTGGCATGAATATGACGCTGTTTTTGCTATAAAATTGGGTTTAAATACACTTACCACACGTTGACATTTTTTGTCATTTTTGACCATTTTGGATACTTTTTGTGTGGTAAGTGTATTTATAGCAAAACCAGCGTAATATATTTTCTTCAAAATGTGACTTCAGAGGGGAATAACCAAATATTTTTTTTTTTTTTTTAAATGACCCAATTTTTTTAAACGAATTGTGTGGCATGACTAAACTTGAACCGTACTACAACGCCTAATAGGTCACCACTCTGGGATATTGAATGAATTCAAAATGTTACTAGAGTATAAACAGCCAATTTTGGTTTTCCGGAAAACTCTCTAGGAAAATTGTGGAAAATCCTGACGTGATAGAGAAAAACGGGTGATGCCATTGAAATCAGCATACCCAAATTATGTAAAAACGATGGGTCTCGTTTTTGTCACATTTTACGTGACGCACAGTGTATTTTTTTATCTGATGAGGTTTTGACAATGTGGGGTGACCCCTGCCCCCAATTGGGAGCTTGGGCCCCCCTTATTTTCACAAACTTTTTTTCTAACCAGTAAAGTACCCAAAGTGTGAATAAAAGTTTTTGAAAAGGGGTGCGCTAATGAGCTAGTATGGGTGGGAGGGCAGCCCCCATTGTCAAAAATTCATCGCATCAAAAAATAATGTACTACAAAGTTGTTAGTACAGCCAACTATTACACCAACTGGTCCATAGAAATTATCGATCCAACCTGCGACTGGTTCACGAAACGTGCTGATATTTACCCAAGTTTTTCACTACAAATTATTAGTATTTCAGACGAAGTAAAAATGAATCAGATATTGCTTCATAATGATTTTTTTATTTCCATTTGTGGCCGACTTACAATCTCACATTCTAAATAAATAATTGATATTGTGATCACATCACATTTACTGATTGTGGTATATATCTTCATTTGGTTTTGGTTAAAATATATTTTCAATAAAACATTTAAAAATTTAATTTAACTTTAAACATTAGACCATTATGTTTACGGATATTTATGATATACTTGGATTAATTGAAAATATTCATGACAAACCAAACAATTGGTAACAAAAATTTATAATTTCGCTTTTTTACTTTCAATTTTAACACAGACAATACGCGATAAACTTTTTAAAATTGAGAATATATACTCAATAACACGTACATTGATTTGTTTTGTTTTTATTGTCAAGCATTTCTATGTGTTTTTTATTGTTTCAGTTGATGATAGGTGATTATGTTGATCGTTAATATTTCACTAAGAACCAAGAACGAAAAAAAATACTATTGTGTTGAGTGTACACAGTTTGATACACGACTTCGATAACTAAATCTAAAGCTACCAGTATTTTTTATATGGCTGAAATGTGTAGTATGGACACTTAAGCTGTTTGTTCATATAGATATTATGTGCAGTATTTTAGTTGCGTTGTATATACTAGCGTTGGCAGTGTGTTTATTTAGTTTTTGTTCCTAATAGAGCTTCGGCTACACCCAAGAAGTACACCATTTGTGCAATTCCGAATAATGGAGCGATTACGATCATTCGACAAAGACCGCCCTTGAAAAATGCCTGCGGTCCTTCATGTTTCAATGTTTTTCTGCAATAAATTAAAAATTGTGAAAATTGTTTTTCGACGATCAAGACAAAAAAAGAAAAAAAAAAATTACCCAATGCAATCGAAGATGCCATTAAATTGCATTTCACCTTCGGCCTTTTTCAGTGCTTGTAATCTCGTCTTAATTACATCGAAGGGATTCACGGCTAAAGCTGCCAATGATCCGGCTGCACAACCTGATGCAAACGATACAAAGAAGGCAGCTTCGCCGCTGCCATCATTTTTACGCGGTCCAAATTGATTCAATGTGGCAAACAATGGGAAGTAAACGATTGAAAATGAGACATCACGCAATGTTGTCGCCCCGATTCCCTTGTATAAACCAAATATTCCCTTCTCGCGGAATAATTCGAGCGCAATTTTGGTGGCCGAAGTTTTTGGCACGGTTTTACCCGCTAATTTTGCTTGAGCTGCAACTCGGCCAGCATCCTGCATTTGAATTTTCAACAGTTCCATTGGTGTCGTGATTATAATCTGACATAATCCAGCCAAACCACCAGCGGCCATTTGTCGTGTTACCGGTAATTTCCTGCAAAATAAATCAATGTTAAATATAATTGTCATTGAATGGAATTCACAAAATTGATTTGCTCACCCATCTTTAGTGGTTAAATGATGTCGAAATAGATCATTGGCAGCCAATTTAATTGCTTTCTCTGGTGTTATCAACAAGATATTCACAGCGCTGCCTTTATACATACCAAAATAACCTTCGGCACGATAGGTCTTCTTGAAGCAATCCAACCTGCCAAGGGGTAAAAAAATAGTGATTTAATGACCAAAAGAAGATGCACAACCAATTTTCATTGAACCTACATGGATTTGTACATTTTTTCCCCATTTGGACCGACTTGCTGATTTTGTAGGCGAGTTTTTACCAAATCCAATGGGAAGACACAAGAAACACCAATAATTCCGGCAATTCCCCCATTGATGATCTTTGGAAGCAATCTAGAATGGGCAAAGTCAATAGTTTGAAATTGAAAATGCGACATAAAAAACAACGAGCACGAATCGCTTATAGCGAATTAATTTGAAAAACAACTTACGCAAATTGTTTTGGCTTGGGTGCCTCAGTAGTTGCTGCTGTTGTATTCGTTGTCATTTTGTAAGTAGTTCCTGTAATTGAACAATATGCTTGAACTTATGTACTGTCTCATGAAATTATTTGTTTAGAAAAAAGAACAAACAAGTCTCGTTTATACGACGAACGTTTATCAAAACGTATTAAAATCATTAAGTAAGGCTTCGCACGAGTTAAAGCAGAAACAATACTGTCAGCGATTGAATAACGCGTTTAATTAGAGCTATCGTATAAATGAGAAAAACAAACTGTTCCATATGTACGATTTTTTACGATGTGCTTAAATTGCTTTATTAGCATTTGACTCATGTGACAAGTGACACGACATCGGGGAACATTTTTTATGAATTCTAAAAAAGGTCGGAATATTTCCGAATGACGAAATAAAAATATTCGCTTAGATGTTGTCATTTTTCCAAATGAAAAATTTACGTTATCATTTTTTATCGTCAATTCAATCATCGATTGCAATTGAAAGTGAAACGGCGGTCCCGTCAATTTTATACAAATTATCGCAATGGAACGTAATCATATCATATGATGATATGATTCATATGTGTGTTCAATAGCTGAATTTATCCGGTTATCATTCGATTTGTCATTGTATGTGGTCAAGCAATGAAAACTATTTTTGGAATATAAATTTGGCATTAAAATGTATTTTAACGCAATTTATGTGAATTTTTTGTTTGTATTTCGAGGTAAAATATACGAAAATAAGAAAACAAAACAAAGCAAAATCAACGAAAATTCTATTTATAACCATAGTCACGAAATATTAGTCAGTTTTTGCAACTTGAGGGGAGAAATAAAAGAAAATCATTTTATTTTGTAATTTTTGATGAAGAAAAAAGAAATGTTCTACACAATGTCAAAAATTCACACATTTTGCATCTTCGTTCGCTTCAATATTCGATTCACATAATGTTAATAATTGAACTCAATTTATTAGCGAAATATGGTACACGGCTTGAAAAATCGATTACACTCTACATCTATTATAAACTAATGTTTGTTAAACAACATCCACCTGAAGTTTGAATCACAAATACACACCTTTTATAATCAATCAAAATCAATTGAAATTGTATACTAGTTACTACTTTAATGATTAACACACGGAGGTAATTGCTTGAAGATGAAAAAAACGTCGCCTAGTTTGACGCTGACACGGGCACAAATACACAGATATTAACAACAAGGTTAACAACAACAATCAGCCGGAGAAATGGATATACATAAATATGTGTATATGAAACAACAAATGATAAAATGTATTATCAGCAACAACTGATAAACACTCTACGTGGAACTGTGTCAACCATCAGCATCGATTTGTGTGACTGACTTAAAAAAACAATTTCGAGCTGCCTTACTACACATGTTTAAATGCGCACATACAGTCATCTCACTCTCCATCACCTAACTAACATACACAAAACGTCAACAATGAATATACAGTCATTCATATGGCGCATAAATGCTACGTGTGACGTCACAAACATTCTCATATTGTGAATGGCTCACATCTCGTAGATTTAACGACATTTTCAACTGAGAATCAACTTGATTTTTTGTTCGCTATATTTCTAGTAATTTCCTTAATTTGATATTAATAATTTTCATTTAAAAAAAAGATTTTTCTTTTACTTTACCTTTGAGTTAAGAAGTGCGGCCATAAAAAGAAATGTATGGATTTATCCCACTATTGTGAATCAGAAAAGACTGTATAAATACATTTTTCGTCTATTGGAACGCTAAGAATATTTCGTGGATTTTTTTTAAATCTTTAATTAAGAGAATTCTCGACCAAGGCCTCAGATGATGATCTCTGTTCATGCTTGTGATATTCATCCAGTTCAAGTAGAAAGTTGGTCATATTTGCACATGAAAACAAATGTGTGTTGATTTAAGGAGAGAACTTATTTTATTTAAATTTCGCTTTGAATACAAACAAATCATACAAACGAAAAACTAGTGAAAAAAATACATTTATATTTCCATTCATGCCTTATTTAACTAGTTATTTGAATTTATCAACATATTACAAAAAAAATAGGGACAATGTGTCAAATAATAATATAATTTGTTTCAAATATTCTGTTATTTATATTATATAATTCAATTAAAATGTATGCAATTAGAGTAAATTAATCAAGTGTTGTTGTGCTTAATCAAAATTAACGTTGAATTTAAAAAAAACGCTTGTCGTTCAACAAAATTTACTTATTATTCACTTACAAACTAATCAATAATTATATATTCATTTTTTTGTAACAATATTATACACTTGTGTTTATGTTTTACATCCAGCAATAACATAATTGATCGAAATTGAATTGAATTACACGCAACTGAATTTGACACCGTCATCACTGAAAAAGAACAAAGAAAAGAGAGAAACGTTTTAGAAACAAATCTTTCGAAGCAATTGTAAGGCGTTTTTTTCTCTAACTTACCTTGAGAAGCAATTATTACAATGTAGCTTTTGATTTCGGACTCGAACATCAGCCCCACTCACGCCGTCACCCAATTGAACACGACATACGCAGCATTTAAAGCAATCCAAATGATAGAATAGCCGAAGACTCTCAATTATCATGGCTGCACCACGGCCTGAAATAAAAATAAAAAGAAATTAATATCCAGAAATTTAATTGGAGACAAATTGTTGTGAAAAAATGCTTACCCAATTCCTCACAACAATATGAGCACTTTTTCTTCCCGCTGACACTGAGAATTTCACGTGGCGCGGTTGGTGTGCTATTCAATTCGTCCACAGACAATCTTGAGCCATTCAATTGATGTGACGTTTGATGATAGCTATTGTGAAGATGTTGCGGCGATACAAGTTGTTCGTTGCTACTGTCAAGTGTTTGATGCGGATGATGATGATAATGATAATGATTTTGTTGAATCTCAAGCCTGTTCGAAATGAAGAGAAAATGAAAAACGACAGAAGAAGACAATGAAATTAGCTTGAAGTAACAAAGAGAGAATCGTCTCATGTCAATCAATTTTAAAATGAAAACATACCGTTTCTTATCGCTAAGCTTATTCTGTACGCGTTGTGTGATCGTTTGTATGACTGCATCGGGTAGCGGTTTATTATCGTTGCTTCCTTTTCGCGGGATAATTTTACTGCTGTTATTCAATTGTGACCATTCACCACGGCGCGCTTGGTCGATTCGTCGTTGTTCAGCCTCTTGAATCAGCCAATGTTTATTATAGTTGAAATTCTGTGGATCTGATCGTCGTTTTTGAAGTGAAAGCCAAGTATCACCGATTGGCTCCTTATTTTGGCGTGATCGAATGTATGGTTCGGCCGCTGGATCAATGTAATCGCGATTTGAATTCCATCCATTGTCGTTTGTATTTTCATAATTATTGTTGTTATTGTTATTATTATTATTGTGAGCCCATGTGTCTTGAAACTTTGGTTTTGGTGCGGCACTCAGTGCGTGCAACGTGTGACGAGTCATATTGCTGTAAGAGCCATTTATTGAATTATTGCTGCTGCCACTGTTTCCAGCATATGGACGGAAATCTTCATTTGACTGCGAGTGTATTGTATTCAAGTGCATTGGCACCGACTGATTGGTTCTTGGATCAATCACAGCGCCATTGCTATATATCTGTTTGCCATACTTTAAATACTCTTGGACACGCAACGGTTTGGCTGGCGGTATTGGTGGAATAATTTTATCTGTCACTTCACGCAATGTCATATCCTGTAGATTTGGCATCGATTTTCGATGATTCGCTTGGACATGATAATCAGTATTATAAACATTTGCATACAAATTTACATTGCCATTGATATCTTGTAATGAGCGTCTAAGCTCAACTTCTTCTTCTTGTTGAAGTTGCTGCTGCTGGTGCTGCTGGTGTTGTTGCTGTTGTTGTGCTTCGTGTTGTTGTTGTGCATGCAAACGTTGTTGTTGTTCGTACAATTTACGATTCATCATATTTTTTCGCTTCATTTCTTCTTGCTCCAATTGCAGTAGTTCACGTTCAACACGCAATATATCGGCCTGTTCACAATTTTGTTCATCAATACATCTGGCTCGTTCACGTTCATCTAACGCTTTTAAAATTGGATCGATATCATCATCGTTTTGTGCAAAACCATCATTGTACACCCATTGCTGTGTGCCAAGTGCCCGACATTCCATGGCCAATGCATTTTTGCCAGCTTCAATAAGTTTTTTATCTTTTTCAAGTGCGCTAATAATTTCCGGGCGATTGGAATCTTGTTCTTGTTCTTCGGACGATGATGTAACGGGTTCACTGCTTTGACGTGAATGATTTTCTGAAACGCCCGAATCACGACTTTCGGCCGTATCCGAACTATCATACAAACCGGCTTTCATATACAATTGCTTATCGATGCGACGTTCTTCTTGCAATAATGCGGCCATATTTGGTGGCGGTGCCACACTTAATTGAAGAAAACTTTCATCATCATTACCTTCAATGCCCAAAAAACTCGAACGTTTATTACGAATTTCCTTTTTTATGCGTTTCGTTGAATTAATTCGTTTCATTGCATCTTGTGGCAATGGTTCTTCTTCGGCACATTCGCTTTCTTCTTCATCGTCGTTTGTTTCAATTGGTGGCGGTGGTGGTTTCTCTTTTGGCGGTTGCATAATCGATGCTTTCGACCCGATTTCAAGTGGGACCGGCAATTTTGTCACCGAATTAACGCCAAGCTTTTGCGATGAAGCCGCACTATCGTAATACATATCGACATTTTCGTAGACTGGAATTGGTCGCGATTTTGGTACTTCATAATATGACTCGTTTTGCTTTTTCGGCACTTGATAATATGGCTCGTCAATTGTTTTTCCATTTTCATTGGACTCTGTACATGGGTTCGATTCACTTGTTTTCGTCACATTTACACTTTCAACAGCTGCTGCGGCGGTTGCTTTCTCTTTATTCGTTTGGGCGATTGTACTTCGGGCAATTGTTGTGGTTGTCGTTGTTGTTTTTGTTGCCTTTAATGGTTTGAATTCATTTATTTCCTCATAAATTTCATCAAATGACGTCGCTATGTTGATCAGTTCGTTCGGTTTCTCCGTATCGATTGCATTCAATGCAATATCCAATGCATCAATCACCTATTTAATGATAGCGTTTTTTGTATAGCATTATTGTTGTTTTCGTGTAAATTATGCGAAATTCAAAAAAACGAAAAACAAAACACACACAAAAAAAAGAGAAAAAAAAAAAACAAAATTAGAAACTGATAATAGCAATTAGATGAAAATAAACATAAATTTGCAATGAATGCAATAACAAGCAATGAAAAAAAAATTATATTAGAGATAGATCGAGGAGATCAAATCAAAGAAATAAATGATGTTAATACTCGCATTTTGTACAAAACTCTTTATATATACTATATGTATGATTTTTTTTTAATGGTCAAACTCTACACAAACACAAATCGCAAAAATATATATACAAATGAAAAGAAAAAAACTGAATAAAAAGTGGAAGAAACAGAAATAAACTATAAAAAAACAAGCAACTAAAGAGTTAATTAGATGAAAACAATGATTATAAATTTTATTTGTTTGCACATCGACTTACGTACCTCGTGTAATGCTGAAATAAATTTAGACACTAACCACAGACAAAGATAGAAATAAAAGAAAAGTAGTGCTTTAAAAGAAGAAAATGTATGTATGTGTATTTTCAGCGTATTCCTTCCCTTCGCGTATAAATATAGAGTTTATTTCGTTTGATTCGTGTTTTTAAACGCGCTAGACGAATGGAAAAATAATCGAGCGAAAGGAACGCTGTGTACGCGAATTACGCGATGAAATGAAGAAAAATAACCATAAATAAAGAAAACAGATGATTTGAAACATAGAAATAAAATAATAAAAAGACCCGGCACCAAAACAAGCTTTTCAACGAAAGAGAAAATCCAACTTCAAAACAATATCACCTTATTTATTTTATTTTCCAAGCCATGTGTGTACTACTCTACTATCAATGACTGTGCTCATGATTGAACCAAGCAAATGGAAGAAAAAAAAAATTACGTAAAATCACGGTTTTTCATTCCAGATTTAGTTTGTCGTTCGCTCGATTTGCATAATGCGTTGAGCACTGATTAGCAATAGTTTTGAAAATGAAATGCGTGCACACGAGTGACTTAGTTTAAATACCGGTTGACAATACATTTTTTTTTCACTTCTCTCCAGTTTTTTATGTTAAGTTTGCTTCTTGTCACCGTTGAGAGAGAGAGAGAGAGAGAGAGAGAGAGAGAGAGAGAGAGAGAAAGAGAACAGATAGATTCAGGAGAAGCCTGACAAAATTAAAAAAAAAATCATGCTTTATTGGATTTATCGAAGTGATTTTTTTTACTTTGTCATTTGCGTTGTCAATTTTGTTTGTATCGCTGGCACGTGCAACTAGTAAACCGTACCCAAATGACGGAAAACCGAAATAATCCATTGAGGTTAGCGCTAAAGTGCACACACAAAAAAATAGTCATAAAATTTTTCATATTTATTGTTAGCGATCGTACTGCACCTTAGACGCAGAATCGCTAAAACAACTTCACTCTAACACCATATTTGACAATGTTGACGAAAATGCACACAAATCACTTGCAAATAATATTTTGAAATGTGTGCAATAATAATTTTTTTTATTTTCTGAAAATCGATAATTCTTCCTTGCATTCCCGCGCACTCAATATGGATAAATTGCAATATTTTACGGTTTTTTTTTTGTTGTTGTTGCCGTTGCTATTTTGCCATAAATGCGAGAATATTTCATTCCGATAGAAATAAATAGTTATTGGAAGTGGTATGTATACGACTTTCATATTTGCATTGTACTGCATTGCTTGGAATTTTTGCGAGCATTTTGGAATGAAAATGAGATTTAAAGGAATTTTCTTTTAATTATATTGCATCACAACTTAAGGGAAAAATTATTCTATTACACATATATTTTTCTCTCTCTTTGGTTTCTCTGCATAAAGTTAGAGGCAGAAAATATTTTCACAGTGCACAATGCATTGCACACACGTACACAGGCGGCTTTTCAACGCGATGCGAAAGAGAAAATGAGTTATGGCAAAAGGTTTTTTTCATTCGTTCGCAAAATACCAAACCATTCGTAACGAATCAATACGATCACAAAATGAACATATAAATAAACGCAGCAAAATAATAATAACACGAAGTACTACTAATAATTGAGATCAATGGGTAGAAAAGAGTCGACAAATCGGTTTTGAATGCTGGGAATTCATTTGAATTATGTGTATATGGATTCGAAAACACACTACAATTGATTTATTCTTAGTTTTTTTTTCACATTTTTATTATTATTAGCCAGTAAATCATTTATATTTTTCAACTTTTTGATCTAAACAATCCATATTATAATTGAAATTGAACGGTTTAAGTGGAACATTTCTTAAAAGTTTTTTCTATTCCATATATTCATGGCATAACATGATTGCATAATTTTAAAAACATTAACTACGTTAAAATGGGGAACATTTTTTTTTCTTGGTCAATTTTTTTTCTTCTGTGGTTTTAAATTTTCAGATTAATTGTGTTCACTTAATTTCACCTTAGTGAAATGGAACTGGCTTTTTACTGGATATATCTCTACTCTCTACAATAACATAATGAGTGTGGAAAAGTCCTTGACGAATAACGTGTATTATCGATTATTTTCAGACACAAATGAAATTTCAACGAAAGTAGTCTTATTGTGTTTACTTTTTCTTTCAATATATGCACATATATTCCAATAATTTCTACAATACGCCCATTTCTTGTTCTGTTTCAATGCTCGAACAATGTTTGAAAATTGAAAATTTCACTTTTGTTTGGCCGCATTAAAGCGAATAAAACGTCTGCGGTTAATTAGCGTATTTGGACGAGACCGATAATTGAATGTATTGAATGAACGATTGAAGAAGGTATTCGATAGACTGAATATCGTCGGTTTTGTCTACGATTTTATTATTGGCATATTCAACGTAAATGGACTTGCGCATATGTATGCTTTCAGCGAAAATAACATTTTCCAATTGAATGTACTGCATTTTAAAAGTAATTAGCCGCCAAAGCATGTGTGGCCGTTGCGCTGGTTCACTTATTCAAAAATTAAAGACATTTTATTCGCTTCATGCAATTCCTTAACACGCTTTTCGAAATGGACGTTTTCAACACTCAATTTTCAACTTTCCTATTTCTATTCAATTTTTCCCCCTGAAAAAGGTCTACTCAATTGATTTATATACGGTGGAAATGTGCCGGAACTCTTTTTTTTTTTCAAACGAAAGAGAAAAATATATTCACACTTGACTAAACTGACTTTTATGCATATAAATAAAAAAAAAGAGGCAAAATAGTAACAAAAGGTGATTATATTTAGAGAATTGAAGAAAATAACACATTTTTTCACAAACATTCCATTTCAGTGCTACCAAAGAGCATAAATTTATCGAAAATATTCCAAAATTTGGTTAAATTGTTCAAAAAATTCTGTTATCTTCTTAATTTTTTTTTCTTTTTAATAATTTTTTCTAACAAAATTCAAGAGAATAAAGGCGATGGGGGTTATTTTCGTTTTTGTTACGAAGAAATAGATTACATAATTTTTTCAAGTTCTTTTTCAAAGATTTTTTTTTAAAATAAATTAGAGTATTTCAAATAGACTTCAGTTTTGCGTATAATCAAATTACACGTTTGAGTTGTTGTTTTTTTGTTGGTTTGTACATGCAAGAAGGCCGGAAGATTCTACATTCAGATCTTTAACATTAAAATATGGTTTGGTTTCATTTTTTTGGTTAAATATAGAGAGCAATCTATGACATTGATTTATATTATATTAACAGGAAATTCTCTACTTTTATGAACAAATAACAATTAATTTTTTCATTTCATTCTAAATAAAAGATAAAAAAAAACATTTAAATGACGACGCAATTCAAGTGTACTTTCATGCGCAATGAAATCGCATTTATTTAACATCTGTTTCGTCGTTTAATTTATCCAATTCGTCATCGAGTAATTGATCGATTTCAGTGGGTTGTTGGGTTTTGTTCAACGAAATATAAAAGTTTGAACATTGATCGTTTGGTTCGTTGTCGATTGATTCGGTTGAATTGGCGGTAGATGTTGGTTCGTTGAGTAAATTACGTTTGATAAAATCAAAAATGTTCTTTGTTTTGCTTGGGCTTTTGCATGGATTTTTATTTGAGCATTTCGATAATGATTGATTTTCGTTTGAAGCGTTCGATGAAACTACATCAATTTTATTTTTCTCCAAAACACCAACTATTTGACATTTGATACGTTCATTTTTCAATTGAATTGATTCGCGTTGTTGTTGTGTTATATCGATTTGATTATGATTACCATCGACACTGTCTACCGAAGCGGTCGTTGTCGTCGTCGTCGTATGTGATTTGTTTTCGGTTGTGGTAATTGTATTTGACACGAATTGTTCATCATCGATTTGATTGTTTGGTAGCGTAGAAATGTGCATGTGATCGATCCGTGTCGATGATGTTGGTTTTTCGATTGCGATTTCATTGTCGGTATTATGTGTGCCGTTATTTTTCAATGTTTCGGTTAGTATTGGTTCTACGTCTACGGTTAAAATGTGATTTTCTACGGGCTTATGATTATTGTTATCTACAATGCGATCAAATTCATTGTGTGCAGCTGCCTGGCCACTAGATATGGCACGTTCAATCGATTGATTTTCCATCACCAAAGTGGTAGTAGTTGTGGAAATAAAAGAAGGAGTAGGAGGAGAAGAAATAGTAGAAGCCTTAAGAATATCATGACTATCGACTAGAACACTTTTGATCGTTAAATTAAGAAAGTTTTTGGTTGTAGATGTAGGACTGGTGTTTTGTAAACTTACACTATTGTCCGCTTCATCATCGATCTCATCTTGTGACTGCAATAAATCATCTTCGATATTCGAATTGGTTGTAATTTTAACGAGATCGGGTGTTATTTGACGACGTGGCATAACCTCTGGTTTACGTGCAGCTGGTACCGGTTCATTTGGTTTTTCATTGCGCGGCACAGCCATTGCAACATTTCGATTGATAACAACACATTCATCGGCCATTTGCTGGGGTTGACTTTGTTGCGATGCAAGACTTGATTGTAAATCATCCGAGTTAATACCACTGTCTTCGTCATCTTTCATATGATGTGATTCATCGACGTGAATTGGTGATGATGTTGTGCTTTCATTGTTGTTATCAATCACTTTCAAATTACTTTCATCGGCCACTTTATTGAGTGTGATTGACTTTGGTTCGGCCATTTTCTTTGTTCGATGCTCAAGTTTTCCGTTTGATGTTGGTGTCTCATTGACCATTGACGATTCAAGGCTCATGAGACGCTCTTTTAACGGAACCACTGGTACATCGATTTTCGGTGCTTTTGGTTCAATCGTCACGAATTGTCCATTTTCCGTATGCAAAAAACGTTCACGCACACCACTAAAATCTCCCGAATAACGATTTGGCTTGGTTGGCGTCATTTCTTTTGGCTCATCATTTCGTTTTTCTAAATGTGATAAACGTTCTTTGATACTTGCTGGCGCCTCAGCATTTTCCGTTAATAGAATCGGTGATTTTTTTGTGTCGTTCGATCGATTGAATTGGGCTTTTTGCTCCTTTTCGAATAGTTCACGTCGCGATGAAATATCAATTTTTGGCAAATCGATTTTATCAGCATTTACATTTGCGTTGCGTTCGTCTTGATCGGCATTTGAATCATTAAATTTCGTTTCGTAGCTTGCCAAATGGCCTTCGATTTTTGGCGTTAATCGAGGTTTTGGTTTTAAATGATTCGACGATGGTGGAGCATGATGCTTTTCGGCCCATGATTCAACCGATACACGACTAAAATTACTTGTAAGTGTTGTGATCTGTGTGCGTGAACCATTTGAATTATATGATGAACTGTAGACGGGATCAGGCGATGCTGCCGATAATGTACTATTCGATGTGTTATCATCAAATCCAGGACTTGATTCAGAATCACGACGATAGCTCTCACGGTGATTGCTGTTTCCATCGATGAAACGATTTTTATCGCTGTCCAACGTATTATCGCTCTGTTTGTGTGTGATTTTTTGATATTGATGATTGTTGTTGTTATATGAAAGATATGATACAAAGAAGAAAAGCAAAGGAGAAACATTATGCGGAACCAAATATTTGTTTAATAAATCAAACTCAGGCTACATAAATAACTTGTGCAAAGGAGTGCTTCTTTTGTGGTCGCATTTAAAATAGCACAAACTTACAAAAAAATGCAGTTTTATTGAGATATCAAGAGAGAGAGAGAGAGAGAGAGAAAAGGGAAGTGAATGTACATCAGGTTGAGCCAATTATGTATATAAATATTGTGCGTGCGAACGCAACATCGTCATCATCGTTACGATGATCGCATCGCTCAAATCGGATTTAGAGTAAATAAGAGAAAAATCCATTTAATTTGAGCCGAGAAGTAAAAGAAGAAATAAACGGAATAAAAAAAATCCGACAAATATGTAGAATATTTGGCCGTTGATGTTTGTAGTTTGTAGTCTATTTAAATCGGCAAATAAATTCTTTCATTTCAAAATAATCGAGAGCATTTCTTTGGCATTTCACCATTAATTATCTGCACGTATCTGGCTACTATTTCATTTAGTTCAGAACGTAGTTGTTGTTGTTTTTTTCACTTTAAATTTTTTTCCTGTTCCTTTTTTTCATATGGTATGTATTATATCTTTGTTTGAAGTGAAAATGCATCCACATAAGATTGCAAGAGCTCGCAAGAAGAAAAACAACGCCGTAGATCAGAAACATTAGTCGAAATTTTGAGTGACTAACACATTTAAAATAAGTGAAAATGAACGAAATGGAACAATTTCGGTCGAGAAAGATACGAAACATAGTGGCACTGGCATTTTTTCAACGCATTCTGCACATACCATACGATATATTAATAGACTGTGTGTTTCGTACGCGGTCTTCAATCTCTTCAATTTATGTAGTGTGTTTGCGTTTTTTGTCTCGGTCGTTTGTCGTGTTTTTGTTTTCGGTTGTGTTCAATTTATTTAAGAAAAGGGAAGAAGAAAGAGAAGAAAAGATTGCATTGCGTTGGGCCAGTGAATTTATAGCGGTCAAATAAATCGAATCGAAAATAAAGCAAAAGCGTGCTCATCGTCACAAAAATAGTTAATTAATGGATTTAGTCGCCCCAACACCAGACACCGTAATTGTAACTGTGCACCACAGAAAACAATGTACAGATCTTTTTTCCGTTGCTATTTTTTTAGACACACATCACAAAGTATGTTGTGGTTGTTGTTGTTTTTTTTTTTTGACACAAATGAAGAAGCAATTGTATTAAACATATAATCGAAAAATCATTCGTTACAAAAACCAATTAAAACACTTACGTTAACACTCTGATTCTCATAATCCTCGGACACGCTACCTATACCGTTGATCGTATCGCTTGCTCGATATCCAAAGCCATTAAAATCGCTTGCATCCTCGTCATCGTTGTACACCGGCAACGAACATTTTCTGCCTTTTGACTCTCTGCAATTTTACAATAAAGAAATCCAACATATATGAGTAACACAAAAAAAAGCTAATGTCGATCGATGAAAGGCTATATTGATTCTAAAGTAACTTGTACCAATCGTACAATAATTGAGATTAGAGTCTATATAATTTTCTTTCTAATTTGAAAGAGATGGTTCGAGAAAAAACCACATGCACAGGAAATAGAAAATGATGTTGCTGAATTTTGTGATTCTATTTTTTGCTCTGTGGTAAACAACTGTTACTTTCGGCACGTGAAAGTTTGATGAGAGTCAATCATTCGATTTGCAGTTCATATTTATGAAAACTTCATAACAAAATCATCCGGAAAAAAATACACACACGTAAATGATGGAAACATGAAATTTGGTTGAACAACTTGTTGAAAATGAATTTGAAAAAATTTCAACACTGATGGACGTTGATATAAACATCACATCAATAAAACCATCGCGGTTTACAAAGAAATTGAAATGTATCAAGGAAAATATTTGAATAATATGACTTGAATTTGAATCGGGTCTGGGCGAAATATTGTTGTGTGTGGAAAAAGAAGAGATGATAATTTAGATTTGGATCGAGTAAAATGTGGTAAAAAAAGAAGAAAAAGAAATGACCGTAAAACGGTACAATTTCATTAAAAGACCGAATAAGACGATTTTCCCATTCACAATCGACGCTCATCTTCATCATATAATTATTGGCCATTCATTGCAATTGAATGGGCGAAAAAAATGATGTATATGAATTTGCATACGAATAGACAACAAATAAACACACACAAATTTCATAATTTCTTTCTATCATTTCATCGCATCTACTTTTTTTATTGGTTGCTCCCATAATTTCCTTCGTTCACAATAAATCTCTCTATCTTCGGGTCTTTTTTTATTATTTAATCTTTTTTATCGTAGCACCAAATCCACAGCGTCTGCATTAAAAACTTTGTTATGGATTAATGACAGGGGATACAAAAAACGAAAGAAAAAAGAATCGTATCACAATTCACTGTCCGAGTTTAAAACAAAAAGTGGAACCATTGATCACAAATCTAATAAAAAAAATGTATAATTATCGATAGCGGTGAAGTGTATCAACAAAAACAATTCTACGAGCTATCGAAGTCGATTGTAAAATCATAATCGAATCGGTATTTCGTTTTTTTTTCTTCTTTCAAATTTAAATTGTATTTTTCTTTTCATCACCATAATGGCGGTAACAATCAAAATTTCGTAAAGAACACATCGACAGATCAAGACAAACAACTTTATTTTTGCTAATTTATTCAATATATAAATTACAATTCCGATGAAAATGTATTGAATTCGTTTGTATCGATTCCGTCGTCTGTTTGAATCGATCGAATGAAGACGATGTTGTAAATCATGATTACAAACGTTGAATCGCAGCATAACGGCATTTTCAGTTTGTAGAATGGAATGAGTGTGTGAATATGAACGAGAGAGAGAGAGGGAGAGAGATAAGAAAAAAATTGACTTCAACTTGCTTTCAATGGAATTGTTTTTATTTCCATATTTTGATGTTTATCCACTGTATAGTATTTTTTTTTTATTCCATGTATGTTATTATGGTCGTAATAGCGATCGGCCAAACACTATCATCGTCGTTTCTCTTTTCATTTTTCTCTTCGTTATTTGTGTATTTTATGGCAAATTCTATTTTTCGCTAATTATTGTATTTCACGGTGATACATTCGCACGTCACAATCGACAAAGAAAAAATAAACAAAAAACCATTTTCATTACGAAATGCAGATTTGCCATTGAATTGTCGAGCGTCGACCATCTTCATCCGTCGTCATTGCCGTCATAGGTGCAATTTTCGTTTCGTACGTTACCAACACAAAAGTGCCAATTAGTTTCATTGATATGTTAGGTGTACTTAGATAGACTGTTTGCCATGTTTGCTGCATTTGATGATGAGATTTTTCTTTGGATTTTTCATGCGTTCAAAACCATTCGAAAGTTTACGATTCAATTATTATTGTACGTACATGTCATGGCCAAATCGATGATTGCTTGTGTTAAGACGTAACTGGAATAATCAACATCTTTTACCGTTGTTAATTTGAATGCATTTGGCATGGGTTGATAGTGATCAGAAGAAAAAGAGAGGATTTTATGATCAACATTATACTAATAAACACCTGGTGCCCATAATTACAGCCTCAAAGTGCAAACAAACACACACACTGGCACGCATTTCAATCCAATCATCTTTTTGAAGTGAATGCAAGTAATCGAATGAATTACAATGTTTGGAATAGAAACATAATGCCCTAAAAATTGCAAACATTTTAAAGCAAAATCAAATTGCTAATTGCAAACAAAAAAAAAAAATACTTCGATTACAAGAGCGGCTGCATCGATCGAAATTCATTTGAGGCCGATTAAAGAATGAGAAAAAGCGGTTTTCAGCACATCAAAATAAAGCAAACAAAAACAAATCAGATAAAAAATCATACGGGTTCTTGATTCTGACGAACGATCAGAAAGAATCATAAACTTGAAGCACATCCGACACATATTTTCACGTTATGCGTATGGTAATTTTTATATTGTTTGTAAATACACCGTAGAAGATATTTTATATACAGCGCAGCACGTCATTTTCGTCAAAAAAAAGAGAAACAAACACAAATAATGAATTCAACATGCCGCGTACAGCTCAACAAGACACTGGAAGTAAATGATATAGCGCAAAAGACCTTTTGCTATGCAGTGCATAGTATGCACCAAAGGCACAAACATTTGCATACAATTTTTCGGAGCTATTTTTTGTTGTGCATTCATTCGTTCGAAATCCAATTAGAACAAAATTGTGAAAACCACCAATGACTGTGTGCACATTGCGCATATGCATGTAGATGTGAACTTGTGAGCATTTTCATTGTGAAAATGAAATGAATAAAACACATTGTTTACAATTAGTACACAGTGCAATATTGTTTTGGTTAATTTTTGTTTTTCTACGTTTTGGCTCGTTAAATGCAACGACTGCATTAAATGACTGGATATAAGCATCTGTGCACATTATCGATACACAGTATACATATATCGTAGGGTAAAAACGGTTTGTTTACGTTGCAAATGAGAGAAAAAAGTGTCGCGACAGACCGGCCACAAATCGAGTAAATATGAAAATGGAACATTTTAATTGTGGTATTTTTTATATTCGAAAAACAAAAACAGTTTATATTTATGGCGTTCATGTGTCTGGTCACTACATTCATTCCATATGGTGTTATAAGAAGGGGATTAGCATTATACGGCGTTACTGTGGGCATTTCGATGTTCGAAAAATATTTCGTTCGACTATATTTGGTTCCGCTTTACGATCGGTTTGTCACATTGCATTACTTAATGTGTTCAATTCGTCCGGTGACACTTTTGTCGCAAACTATATATTGCTTACAAATCTTTTGTTGAACAATTCGGAAATTGCGAATTGCCCATTGTAATTTTATGCAATATTAAATTACAATAATGACCATTTCGTTGTGACTTGACATTCGAATGACGCGCTCTGAATGAAATACGAATGGTTAAACCATCGAATTGACGAACGAAAAAAAAAATCGTCGATTTTATCTAAAATACGTACCATTGCGCGCACAATGACTACGTAACAATATTGGCAATATTGTCAAAGAAGCAAAACCAGAAAAAAAAGAGTTCGCATTAGTGTGTTGCTTATTAAATTTATGGTAAAAGCATTTAATCGATTGATGTTTGAAGCTGAAATTATGGTCAAAATGATTTGCAGTTTGACTTTCAAAATGAATAACTGAATGCATAAATAACGGTAATTTATTGCAATTTGATTTGGTTTAAATGTGATGTATGTATGTGTTTGTGTGCATTTGAACCGTCTTCGACATGTCTTTGACTCTATATTGACAACGAAACCATTTCACCAATTTTGCGCTTGATAGTTGTACGCTTTTGATCTAATAGATTGTGACGCTCCCGCGGGCGCTGTGCTGCGGTGCGCACAAATCAATCGCACAAGTAAATTAAGGAAATTGAAAGAGACCTGCTCATGGTTTTGTGGTTTTCTATATTTAAATTGAAAATGTCATCACCCCGATCAACCAAAACAATAATCAAACCGACGACACACAGACACACACATTGAGAGATAGCAAACTTTCAATTTTTCAATGGGCTCCACATCCAATTTCAATTTTCTATTGCTCTCTGTGTTTTATCAATTTAACTTTCGCAAATGCTAATATTCTCTATTTTGTATATCCAATGTTTGGTTGTTGTTGTATCGTTATCGGTTCAATGGCTCTTATGTAAATGTGAACAACGTCAAATATAAATGTTCAATCTTTAACCCGGAATATTCGGTTTTAATTGAACGGAACGATAATTGATTTGATAAATCCACGACCAAATAAAATGCATCTTACCTTTCTTCCATCATCTCCGAAAATGTTTTCGATTTCTTTCGATTTCGATCAATCTCTTCCATTTCGAGTTTTTTCGCTTCGACAACGCGATCGATAATGTGTTCAACACGTTTTCGGCGTCCGCTTTTCCAATTGTCCAAATTCTGTGTGTGGGAAAAAGAAATCATAAGCAAAAAAAATTCAGTCAAATGATCAATTAGCAAAAGAGAAGAAAAAAAAAAAACGGCGCCGGAAGAACTGTAATCATACTAAAATAATCAAATTATAGCTTAAATGATGTTCATTTCGATTTCGATTTGCGATTCATCATCACGATTAGCGAATACACTTAAGTGATAGTAAAAAATTAAACGTTTCTCTTCGATTCAAAGTGAAATGGTCGTTACCATAACATGGTTTTCTTCGATTCACCTGACATTTCATTCATTATTATTGTCGGCAATCGTGGATCAATACCGGATTTATTCTTGAACATTTGTAGAAAATGGAATGAATTTGTTAAGTGACGAATGCATGGAGTAAATCGGATTAAGTTCACGATTTTTCGACTTTTTTCTTCCAAAAATAAAGCCGAATTTGCAATGGCCACAGAATTAAGGCTTATGAATTGGCTATCAAAGAGTAAGTCCAACAAAAAGTTATTACTCATTTTATTTCTCTTCATTGCTTTCATTTTTGTTTGTGTGTGTGGTAAGTATCACATTTCGGCTATGAGCATAAATTTAATGCGATTCACCTCGCTTCCGAAGTGGGTATAGAATTTATGTAGACGTCAAAATTGTCATTTATCCATGGATAGCTTTTCTTTACCGTTTCATTCAGTACAGTACGTCAACGAAGTTGAACATTCATTAATTAACATCAAAACACAGAATCCATTCAATTGTTGACCGCAATTTTTGGGCAGAATTTTTGCTTTTCGTTTGAAACGTGGTAATAATTGCTCGAGTAAAATCATTGAATGTACTGAGTACTCTACGGCAAAAAGAAAATGAAATAGACGTAGAATCCATTAAAGCGAATGATTTTCAGCGTCGCATCAAATCGAAACTCGGCCAGACTAGCGTCGAGATTTTCACTCAACCAAAATACTATAACAATACGAAATGAAATAATAGAAAACTGTAAGCAACGGTGGAAGAGACAAACGTCCGTTCCAAATTCGCACATTCAACACACAAAGCATTCCATTTATAAACGTCAATTTAAAAGAGAAGATTTTTTTCTCCGTTTCTTATGTTGAATAGAGTTTTAGTGTCGTATTTTTTTGTCTCTTCTTTTTTTCGAGATCAAGCTTCAGGTGGCTTTTGTTTATGTTTACAGACAACAAAAACCGCTCTTTCATTTGTATTTGAGAACATGTTCCAAATCAAAACGTGAAACGAACCACTTACACATCAAAGAAACACAACGACCATTCACTGGTACTCATTCAGTTTCATCTGCTTCAACCATATCATTATCATGCAAATTTCGCTTTTCTCTATCTACTTGTCGCTGGGAACAAAGCAAATATCACTGATATTCTCACACACACAAGAAAAAATGATGCGGACATAAAACTCTTCTCTTTTTTTTCGAAACACAATTTTTTTGGAGCACTTTTTCCAACAATAATTTGGATTTTTAATGGTTTTTATGCATGTTAAATGGCACCGTTTATTCAAATGTTAAATCTTTATTTGGAGTGTTTACAAAATAACGTACACCGAAAATAGAATCAATTTTGTTAACACACCGCTTTTGTCACAACCGCTTCAACTGAACTTATTTGACCAACTAAAAATTGACTTTCTTGATATTTATGAATTCAGGCCCAAAAGTTTTGAAAAATGATTTTTTATGATATCGACAATCGTTGTTGTCTGCTTGACGTTTCTACGCCTATTGAATTCGAAATCGACAAAATGATGGCCTTTGAATAATAATATATATAAAAAACATTATAACTTAAACCCTATTCACTTCATCGACAGTTGTCTGATTTTGTGTGTGTGTATGCGTTGAATTTACGTCGTTTCGAATGGAAAAAATATATATATTATTATGACTAATTTACAAATTTCAAATGCTGCACATAATATATGCCATATATATGTATCTTTCGAATCAGATCACATTAAAATTGTGGCATTTTGTATGTGTTAGTGTCTTAATGGTCACCTTAAAGACTCATCATTACAACTACGCATCTCATGGGCTGTAAATATTTGTGGTTTACGATCGTACATGTGTGTGTTTTCAATATTCTTTAAAAACATTTTAAATACTTAACCGATTTTTTCGGGTGATTCAGGTAAAAAAAGAAGAAGAAGGAGATGCATGCTTATAGGCACTGATCGATGTGACCTGCTCTAACATGAAGATCAAACATTTTAAAATGTGTCGATGTATTTTGTTGTATCGGGCTCACACGCCGGTATCAACGAACAACACAAAGTGAGAAAGACGCAACCGAAACGTTTGTTGTTTTCGAATGACTTTGCCGAGATGTGGAATCATTCATGTTCTTCGTGCATTTTGGAATGTTCGAAACATAGTTGTTATTTGTTATGTAACAGTTGTGCATCGATCTCTTTGTTTTCGATTTATTTCATTTTTATTTTCTTTCGGAGCAGCTTGAGAGAATATGATTGGAGATTTTTTTTTTGGATTTTGAAGGAGAAGAAAAAAAACGAAGCAAAAGACGTGTATGCATCTGTGTATGCGCATGCTGCGTGCATCTTTTCGACATTCCAGACTTTACATGTTACCGTATTGATTGATCGTGAGAACTTCCATGGAAAATAACTATTTTTTTTTGCTGAACAAAATATCATAAGAGGAACAGTTTTGTTGTTTAGCTTCCGACTTAGTTGTAAGTTTAAGCAGACAAATAAACAGACACGCAAAAATATTATTGATATTTTTGCCGGTTTACACATAAATATAGTATTGAAAAAATCATGAAAATTGGTCGTTTTTGAAATACACGTTTCGCTCGGCCATCGTCAACGTTTCGCATACGGCGACATGACAAGAGAGAGAGAGAGAGAGAGAGAGAGAGAGAGAGAGAGAGAGAGAGAGAGAGAGAGAGAGAGAGAGAGAGAGAGAAAACCATTAAAGAATTTATTAAGAATTTTGTGTGTCTGCCAGAAAACTTGCTAAACTATAATCTCCTCATCTATTGCGATGAAAGAATGTGTGTGTTGAAATTCACCGAAAGGGAATTACATCGTAAAAGCAATTTCAGAAAATTGTGCAAAATTCTAATTTTAAATCGAAATACGCGATGGAAAAGAAAACTTTAAAGTAATACGATTCTCACACCTTTTGATGTGTTAAGTTGGCCAATTTCGTCACGTTATGCATAGATGACAGAGTGAGCAAGCGAACAAGAGAGAAACAGACCATAACTGGCGGCATGAAATTTATCAATTTGCATTCCATCAGATCGCGACATTAGTCAATCTCTTTTTCAATGGAATAACATAGCTATTTTTTTCTCTTCAAATTGCTATATTATGTTTGGCCGGAATAAGTTAGTATGCGATTCATGTATGGTCCGTAAAATTGGTTGAACATGCGGTAACGAGGCGTCGAAAACTCGTACAAATACAACAATTGCTACGTGCGATAAATTCTAAATTAAAAGTCAGCAACTACAATGACCGAAAAATTGAAACAATACACATTCTTTCACTTGCATTGATGCGTATGCGAACCGGCGAAATGGCTAAAAACACCAAAAACCAAGTTTACGAAAGATGGCGAACGAAAGACAAGAGGTAAGACGAAGAATAAAAAAACCGGGCGTGAAATTGATCCAGTAACTGTACAATGCATGTATTTGAATAGCCACCAATTCAATTTACATTTACACAAACTCAATGTGCTGAATGGGCAAAAAGACTACCTGAATCATCCGAAAATTTTCGGAACGATATGGTATTTGGCACTGATTTTCAATGGATAAACAAAAGAGCAAAAGATGAAAAAGAAGCATGAGAGCAAAAAAAAACATGGCAACATGCTAACGAAATGAGAAAAACGTGATTAGCGAAAACACAAACAGTGGCGCACAGACACACACGTTGTGGATAGAGTAAAGGCAGGAAGAAAGAGAGAAAGAGAAAGAGAGAGGGAGAGAGCAAAAAAGTGCCAAGGTGCATAAGCACCGAATGAATGGGAGCTGAATTATCATATATATTGAATGCAACATGCTCACAGCGTTGTTTGTCCAGCCGAAACAACGAACATTAAAAAAGGCCCGTAAAGAACAAATTCAAAAAAAAAAATAACAACAAAGCACACAGCGCACGGTAAATCGGTAAATATTTATTAAGTAGCCGAAATGTATTGTGTGTTTGATTTGTGTGGATCGGTTTTTGATCGAGAAGCGAAATGATTTAAATTGTAAATTTCTCAAAATAACGAATATAAGAGAGGGAGAGCGAAGCAAATGCCAAGCCACGATTTTTTTTCGTTAAATATTCACACACATGAACAAATCGCTTGTTTATTTATTCATATTCAAAATTTGGCATTTATATCGTTGATCGTTTGAATTTCACTTGCTGCTGCGTGTGGCTCGTAGGTTAAAAAAACATGTCTATATGGATGAATACAAATGAAGAGAAGAATACTATGAGTGAGCAACCGATTAATTCAATCAATCAGGTCAAATGCATGACCTATTCGTACTTCATGCGAATAATTTGCCTGGATAACTTGCCATTATCGTCTTTTCTGCATTTCAATTAATTTAAAGTTTGCGCTGCATGACTACTGACTTGCTAGTCAACATTCGATAAATTGTTGTTATTGTTGTTGTCATCGTCTGGCAAATAATTAAAAGCAAATTAAACAATTATCTTGGATCGTTGCACGGCCAAATCAATTCAATTTTGTGTATTTACACAGTTGGCTTTCGGGTCAAACAGTTTGATGAACTTGATTAAGAGCATAAACAATGTGATATAAATATAAATTGAATTAGCTTAATCGTGCTAACTAAATATGAGGCTTTGCTCAAAATAGAACGGGTCAAGTGAATCGACCACTGCAACTTGTTGAGCAATTCAGAGAAAACACGTACATCTCTATTTCTCTCAAATGACAGCAGGTTGGAATGGAGACAAATAATTGTGCTACAATGCCAACGCATTGTTTCATCAACCTATATATTTATTTATCGTTGATATGCTACGGTGTCCCATAAAAACATCTTTTTCTCTCCCTCTCTTTCAATTCGTTCGTCAATGAACTTTACGACAAACAACATTCGTTTAGAAAATGATTAAAATTTATCAACCAGAGATATATCTAGAATGATTTCTTTCTTTTTTTTCGTTGTTGTTGCTTTTGCTGCTGTTGTTGTACGGCGTGCGTATACACAATCGTCGCAGATTACGCTTATGGAATGTATAACGAATAGCGATAAAAATTGTTTCAACCTTTTGCTATGCCGATCACTATTTCAACAATCACACAGTCGCAGTGCAATGTAGAAACTATTCTTGAGATTTAAATGAGGTGGATTTTGTGTATACAAACAAAAGAGACGATATGTTTGCATTATGTACATATGTGCTTTTTCTTCTTCTTCTTTTTTAAGAGTTCTCGAGAAAATACACTATGTAGATGCTAGTAAACAAGTTCACCTAAAACCACACAAACACCATATACACAAAACCATACAAGAACTTGCTGTCATCTTGGTTCGCATTTTTCTAATTTCTCTCCCTCTCTTTCGCTCTCTCTCTTTCTCTGTACTCAAACAGTGTTTGTGCAAAGTTTTGGTCTTATTTTAATTCAAAGCGGATGAATTACACCAATTGCAATAGCAAAAGTGTTAAGCGTTGCCATTTATTCTTACGCGCACAAGAGGAAAAAGAAAATGAACGAACAAAAAAACACACAACATCTAAACAGAAACAATCATAGCAAGTTTTTCGACGAAGAAGAAAACACTGCTGCATGCTATGGATGTGTAGAAAAAGCGACAACGTCAAAACAAAACGTATATGGCTAATGAGTGTAATTATACCGTTATACTTTACATTGATTTTCTTGTGCTCTTGTTTTGATTTGTTCCATTCGTTCCAGCGAACTTCACTCACATTTTCACAATTTCATTTGATGGTAATCTTTAGAAATTGTACGTAATTATATATTGCGATGGGAGTACGATGTTAAAAAAAATACACGCACACAAAATAGCAGGGATCGAGAATATTGCGAGCTGCAATACCATTTAAAAAGAAAAAAATGCTGAAGAACAACGCGATAAACTGTAATTTAATCTAATTGATTGTACGATGACAAAGTCATACTTGGAATTACATTTCAATATTATACGCAAGGTGAGAGAAACGCACACACACATGCATAAACGACACGCAGCAAAAGTGGCCAAGTCTTGTGACACTGCAGGTTGTTCGGTCTGTGTCTGTCCATTTCAACGAATTTTTTTTTTGCTCTCTTCTATTTAATATGTATAAATGCCGGGCATTTATGACGTTCTTTGAGCAAAAAAAATAACTTTTATCAGAATGAACATCATTTTGTAAAAATAAAGTAACGAGAAACGACATCAAAAATGATTTATTTAGAAGAAAAACGAGTGTGTAAACTAACGTTTATTTTAAAAGAACGACAGAAAAAGAAGACGAAATGTCGACACTGTATGTAGAAATAAAAAAAAAGATAGATGGACAACCAACTTACGCTTTGCCAATCTTCCGGTTCTTCTTTAACGATCTCTTTGACCTTTTTTACTTCTTCGGCACGTTTAAGTTGATCCTGTGCACTTTGATACAAATTACACGGTTTGATTGCAACGAATTGCAATGGATTGGCGGCTGGTTTCGGTGGTGCCGCTTTTGTTACACGAGCCCGTTGCACATACTCGGTTGGATCATAGGACATTTGTCGCTGCTGAAATTAAAAATAACAAGAAACATGAATTTATTTGTAAAAATTGAAAAAAATGCATGAATTTGAAATTATTCAAGCTTGGAATTCACTTTATAATTATTATACAATTATGAAAATGTTTTATTTTAATTATTATCTAGAAATTAAAGAGAAAAATGTCAGAAAACTAACAAGAATTGCATTGGGCGTATATACTAATGATCGTGTCACTCGAAATAACAAACTTGGAATATGATCACGGGTGAGAAAAAAACGATGTTCGGCTTGAAAATAGAAACGTTCATGATGAAATTCGAGATAAAATAATATTACACGCAAACACATACAGAATAATTAGGTGTAAATCATCATGCTATCGAAAGAGATATCTAGTTGTGGTTATCTTGCTGGTATTTTTCCTACAATTTGATTGTTCACATTTTAACTACTTTTTAAGGTTCTCGGCCAAAAAAAATGTGCAAACACTGTACAAAAACAACAACCAACCGTCGATAAGAGGATTTTTTTATACCGAAAAAGATAACGGTGCATATTTATATGCTTATCAGGTGAGTTAAGCACAATTTGTGGAATGAGACTGATACGCAAAATATGTGCAATAAATGGAGTAACAAGTAGATATAGATAAGTATCGAATACATGCGATTTAAGTGAAATAAAATAGGAACTTTGCATGTGTATATTTGTTACATCTGTGTATGAATGCCGTTTTTTTATTACACAAAATAAATAGGCGATAAAATAAGCGAACAAGTAAAAACGAAAACACCATAAAAATATAGACAATCAAGATCAAACATTTCGTTTCATATAAAAGTATAATTTTCACCGGCGAATTGGCCAATATTATGAACAAAAAATGGAGCTAGCGAATCGACCTTTGATTAAAGCCTATCTTTGGAAACATTGAATCAAAAAATTGGAATTGGAATTGAAGATAGAGAAATAACATGTTTTTTATGCGATACGAATTGAAGGTATAATTTATCGTGAATTCTACTATATCGCATCATCAGAAAGCGATCGATAGAAAAATTTCAAGAGAAAAACATCATTTATTGCTTATGGGCCATGCCAAATCAATTGCCGAACACAGAGAAACATATACACAAGAAAACAACCATTTCTATTGCTGTGAGCGTTCATTTAGCTACTCGCCTATTTCTACTTGATCCATTTTAAATGAAAGAAGCGATGGAGAAGGCGTTAAAATCAGTTAAAGATAGAGTGAAAAAACGGCCAGAAAAAAATGAGCAAAACAGCAATTAGAACGGTTGAAAATAAGTACATTCATTTTTGCTCATCGCGCTAGGCGTAGAAAATCTATTGCCAATGAACAAGCACGTTTATTTCTTTTCCGTTTTTTTCTAACTTTTACGTTGCACTCTTTTCTAATGGATAATTTATTGTGCAGCAAACACGGTGGCAGTAGCACACAAATTAGTATAATCAACGCAACGATGGCGTTCATAATCAGTAAAACCATCAGTTATAGGCTACTGCTCAATTTCATTCCGAATCCAACGCGCACACACATTGTAAATATGGATTAACGCGCTCTCTTCTCCAATCGCACATCATTTCATATTTTTCCACCGTAAATTGGACGCGCATATTTTAATAAAATTAAATTAAAAATTCTAAGGTAACTGCCAGAACGCGAGATATCATATTTCATATTTATACATACAACTTATAGCAAATATGACCAACACAATATTATCATTTTCACGTTCAACATAAATTACTTAAGCGGCGATTTCTTTTTCTCTATGTCTCCCGTCTTTCTTTTTACTCGCCCAGTTAAGAATTTCTATTGGTTTTTACTCCCGTTTAAATGACGCCAACTCTTCTCTCTTTATACAATAAAATAACAAGAACCACAAAGTCTAATTACATACGATGGAATGGCCAATGGCCGAAAGAAGCCACGAATTATGACTTCAGAACCGAAAAAAAACATATATATAAATGTTGCATGCGTCGGGTCGTACGAAGGTAATAAGATTATGATTATGTATATACGAAAATGTTTTCACCACACACGCATCGTGTCGACAATTTTCGAAAAATTGAGAAAAACAAACAGTTCAAATTCTCATCTCAAGAATTTACGGTAAATAATTTTCGTTGGTGGACAGCAGCAAAACGTATTTCGGAAAAGGTCAACTATGTATTTTTAAGTGAATTTTGTTTCTGATGAAGTACCATTCAACTTCAAATGAATGGGAATATTTCGAAACAAAAGCAAATTCACCAAGAGCAAGAGAAAAAAGGCCGAAGCCAATATTTGCGATGGGATGTTTTTCACGTTTCTCTCTCACTTCGAACATGACTTCCGCCTTTGAACATTTTGCAATGCTATAAGGATGCATCACGTTCACATTTTTCGGATGTTTTCTTATTTTCTGTGCGTTTTTTTTCTGGTTTGGTTTCAATTTGTTGTTTGGAAGTGTTTTTAGTTTGTGATGCAAGCGGCTTTCACCACTTAATTGAATTGCAATTTACACGATGTGGACACTTTAATCGCAAAGTTTATGTCGAAATTTTCACCGATGAGATGCGATTTTAAGTGGATTAACCTTTCGCCAAAGCTAAAGTTTAAACAAAAACGAAGTGAGATTAAAAAAACAAACTGAACAATACATATAGCAACTGACCCATGTCAATTGATGATGTAAGCCAATGACATGTACTTCAATTGAATATGAGTGTACTCAATGGACTATTAAAACTTCGTCCAAACTCATTAAGTCGCATGCGATGAACTGTCGCTATAGACTCATCGTACCGTGGGCCTGGCGATTCAATTACAATAAAAATGTCAAAAAAATGTGTGTGTACCATAAATACATTCAATTCCAAAAATGGTCAGCACACCACTTGAGCGACACACGACCAGAAGAAAACTTTCAACAAATCTTGACTTGTTGATGTTCTGCTGATTGGTTAAATTGTCTTTCTTTTATTTTAAATTGGCTAATAAGGCTTAAAGTGTGCTTAACTTTCTGTTTTTAGCAAATAAAAGAAAAAGTATTTGACGTTTTTTGTTGCTTCATTGTTGGACAGAAATGTGTATTTTCAACATGACTTACCATTTTACCGGTGCAATGCTCTTTCTCTGGCGTATCTGCACTGGGCGATGTTGGTGTTGTTGGCACGTTACCCGATGGCATCTTTCTATTTCTCACTCACCTTTTATGAGTTAGTTAACAGTTGAGTTTATTCGTTGTTCTCGTTACAAATCGCCTTTGATACGGGCGGTTTTTTGCATTTACATGTAAACTAAATTGTTACGTGCCGAAGCACTCTTTCGGTGTCTCTCGTAATTTAATTCGGCCTTTGGTCGAAATTGATTTAATTGGATCGTGTTTTTCTTTGTTTTTTTTTCTTTCGAGCAAATGTTCTGTACGTCGTCGATTGTGGACGTTCCGTTATATTTCTTTTCGTCTTACGGGAAATAACGGCACGCAAAATGAATTAGCAAAATATTTTTTGCGTGCGATTCATTGTTTTATGACACAAAAAAAAGAAGTGTATATTCTCTAGTGAATGCCTTATGTCTTTGGACTGAATGGGCGATTCAATACTTTGCATAACTCGTTCCCTTTTGATTGCTGTAACAATGGCTGTGTTGCATATGAATCAAATATTTGAACACGGTTTGTGCGACGTCGGATCCTTCAGGCGATTTTCTGCAAAGAAAAATTGAAACAAAAAGACAAACATTAATCATATGAATGTAAAAAAGATACACTGACAAAAGCAGCAATAATGAAAAGTGAGAAATATTTTGTTTTTGGCATATACACACACACGCCCGCCAAAGCCACACCAATTTCTTCCTTTCGTTCAACCGATCGATTGTTCATTTGAAATGCGAAAGCACATTTTTGTTTGTTGTCACTTAGTACAGTTTTTCATTGCGACTTGTGTGTGTCTGCGTTCGCAAAGACTTTTCAATTTACGCGTGCAATTCAAATACAATATCAAATTGTATTGCGGTTTGTAAACAACTGCAAAGTCATAATAATAATAAACACCATTAAAATATTGACTTTTTGGACGTGAATGGCAAAAAAAAACAATAGCAACGAATTGTGTTTGGTGTTTGTAAATATGTGAAATGCAAAATAAATAACACACACGGTGGCAAAGTGGAAGACAAAAAGAAACACAAGAAAAAAAATGGAGTTTTGTTGCAGTGTACACGATCACATTTATCTGAAACAAAAGAGAAAAGAATTGTGGCGCGGCTAGATCAACGTACGGTACAATTTTATATTTATCTATCAAAGATGCACGTACGTACAGACCTTACACACTCCGATATATGTTATAATATAAACGATTGCATCGATCACAATTCGGAATCGCGTAGCCAAGGGAAAAAAACGGATCCGTCACATTGTTGCCACATATGGGCAAACGGTTAAAGCCATTCAAGTCTCTCTCTCGGTTTGGATGCGATGATTGTGGCTTTGCTCATTGCCATTTGTTTGTCTAGTTCAGTTTTTTTCTCTTCTCTTCTTTTTACTGTTTGTGTGTAAAATTTCACAGATATTTTGCCTTCGAATGACTCGGCCATTGCATTTGCTGGCGATTGAATTTGTTTGCCGTTGGATTCCGGTAAAAGGTAAGTGAAATTAACTTGCTGTTTTTCCACTTTTCTATCTCTCTCCTGCACTCTGGCTTTTTCTATCCTCTCTCTCTCTCTCGAGGCCAAATGCATGTTCAATCATATTCATCGTGTGTTTTGTTTCTATTTTTTGGTTGTTGTATTGATCTTTTTGCCATTTGTATCTTCAAACAGTGAATCTGGTTGGTTTTGTACACACCGGAATGAGGCTATGATATATTGAACATTCAACGGTAAATTTCTTTTGTCAGCAGGTTTGTTTCGTTTTTAATTGAGGAAAATTCATCGAAATAAAAACCAAAATGTTAAACGTTTTCTCTGCTCTTTTTCAATGAAATAATAACAATAACAATAATAATTCAACGCAGCATCGCATGAAAAATATGGACAAGAGAGAATCTGCAGACTCATAGCGCCAATTGATGGCCAATCGAATAACAAACAAACAGCCCAGATAATAATAAGCAATGTCTATTCTCTGACACTCTCAAAATGCGATATAATACGTACGAAGCGGCATAAATGATTCATTGCTACGTGGTTTCTTTCATTCCAAATCGAAAAATAAACAGAGACGGTATATTCAGTACGGCGCGAATTGAATCGTGAGATTATTATAGACAAAAATAAAGTGTCTATTGTTTGGTGCATCTTTTGATCGTAAATGATGCAAAGTCAAGTGGATATGTGTTTGTGTATGCGATGCTGGTGTGATGGATGACTCCGTTGGAGATTTTTGAATTTCGTTCATAATTCAATTTTCACAATTAACTGAAGAAACAAAGATTCGAGTGTTTGAAACACAGCAGCAGACAAGCCAGTTAAAATGTGTTTGTGTCTGCTCAATGCCATTTTTTTTTATCTATTTCACATGATTTCGTATTTGCACATTATAAAAGAAAAACAAATGCCGCTGTGAATAACAAAACTCCATTCAAAAACAAAACGATATTAATATAATTAGCGACAAATCGAATTTTTGAGTCATTTTTCACTTTTGAGAATGTTCATTCTCATTGTTTCTTGTATCTCGCTTGTCAGATGAACACTAAAAAAATGCTCCTTAAATTGTCGCATTGGAATGTTTATGTTTTAGTTCGGTCGTTTGTGTCTGCATAAGGTCGTTGAATTTGAAAAGAGACTGAAACAAAGAATGTGAGCGGAGAGACACTTGAGACACCTTTGAGAGTGAAAAATGAGGGAATGAAGGGGTTCTTTGACCCGCATGGAAAATTGATTTTTTCTTGCCACTCCTCAACCATCGTTCACATGATAAACAATTTTCTCTCCACAAAACAAAAAAGACGGTTGAAAGAGAGAGTCTGACATCATTTATGAAAATATACAGTCGGCAAATGCACCGAAAGCACATTAATGCCCATGGACATGGAATGTGTTGATGAGATATTTCCATTTGGCAAAGCATTTGTGGCATTGGACTGAATACATCAATGGTTAATGATGGAATTGCAAACGAGATACTTCAATCGAAGAAGAAACCAAGTAACGAATAAAAATGCGAGTTTAGAAATTCAGCATGTGAGTTTCAAGCCCATTTTCGTTCGAACTTTTATCAATCGACCATATCGCATGTAGATAAGTTTTTTAAAAATGTACATAAGTTTTTATGTTATTCACATTCGTTTTTTCAAGTATATTTGGTTGTTGTTTGTTTGCGGTTTGTACATTTTTTTTTTTGAATTTTTTTTCTTTTTTTTTTGCGTCGGCTGAACCGTGACTCAACACTGGTAAAATGCCAGTGGTAATAAATGAGGCGATACCCTCATCTCATTATGGCTTTGTTACCTTTAATATCATTATCGCTGGTTTTTTTTTTCTGCTGCTCTATGCCCATATTGTGCGAATTCCACTGTGCGTACGTTGAGTACGTTTTTAGTTTGGTTTTCGTTGGATGTCGTAATCGGAATAATTCTGCCCATAATTGCATTGTATTCATGTGAAATTTACTTACAACATACACACGCACTCGCTCTGAGAAAGCATGCAATTTTCATATGTGCGCAAAGAAAAATCTAAAAAAACACACATTAAGATCAACCCAAACAAATTAGAACCACAACAAAAAGGCGATACAAAATTATGTACCATAATACTCTTTGTCTGATTCTATTATTATTGAATGCAAACACAACAACAATAAAAAAAATGCCGCAGATCACGCATGCAAAGCGTAATGAGTTCAATCAATTTCATCATTGTTATTTTGCACGCGGGAATGTGCATTTGGCTCTTCATCTCTCTCTATGTTTCAATTTGAATTGGAAAACGAAAGAAGAACGAAAAATTGCAACGCGTGCATTACCAATTGGATTGCTTGTGATGTGTGTGTGCGTGCATTTTGTTCTACAGTCGCGTCTCTCACCAACTACGTAATTTTAAAATCCTTTCGGAATGTTTTCCAGACACAATATTTGATTTAGTGGGATTTCAGTGTTGAAAATGCAATGTACATAACATCAAATCTAACATCTCGCCTGCAACTTGAAAATGGTTGCATTGAAATGCATGTGATTTCAACAGCAACAAAAATTTTGTAGCGAAAATAATCGGCTGGCTTTTGTTATCGTTTGTTACGTATTTTGTTTTCGTTGAACTTCGATTTATTCACCGATTTTCCTGAGATTTCAAAACGTGTAGATAATTTTGCTTTTGTTATTGCTCGTAAAATATGCAGTGAGGTCAGTGGTTTTTTTGAAACGTATAAAAAAGGAATACTAACTGAATTTCAAGTAGGAAATTGTACACGATTAATAAAAGAGTGTAAATTCATTGTACTATTGAAATTCGCATGTTTTTGTTCGCTCATTCTATTTCACCGTTTGCTAATTGTGCACAATGCAGTGTAATGCAATTCATTTTATGCCGATTCGACCGTGCCATGAATTGGGCTGGTTTATTACAAACGAAAAGCAACAACAATGATCATGAAGTCGAAACCACTAACATGTGATCCAAATCGTGCTGTGCAGCAACACATTTTCAACCTGTTTAAATTGATCGGTTATACAATTAGTCTATTAATTCATATATAATGCGAATAACACAAACACATGCACACAATTCAATGCACCAATGCAAAAAGCTTTAATCATCATTTTGAAGAGAGAAAAAAAACGCCAATAAAAACTGCGAAAGAAAAAAATCGAAACGAAATATGCTAGTTTCAATCCATCGCTCTCTCGCACACTCTCTCTCTTGGAGCAAGTGATTCGATTGGTTTTAATATTTTTTTGGATTTATGCAGGGAGTATTTTAATATTTAGTGTGAGTTGCGTTATTTTTCATCTCATATGTTGTACATATTTGTGCAAGTTAGCGGTGCGCTAAATCTACCAGCTACCTGCTGCTGTTGTTGATGACGACGACGACGCCATCGTCGATTAATATTGCATCGCCTTGATCGGCACGTAGGTGTTGCTGCACGATGTATCAATTGGCATGTAATTGCAACATGTAACGAAAAATACAAATGTTCAAATGTTTATTCTGGCGGAGTGAGCGCCAATTCATATTAAGTGTGTGAGTATATGATTTTTTGTTCGATTTGTATTTTTGCCATGCAAACCATTTTGCACATTGTTATTATTCGTTGAGAATGCAATATGTTAATCTTTAATAATTTTCCTGGGATTTATGTCTAATATCGTGTCGGTACAAAGTTTTCATAATTGAGCAATATATAATATTGCGTCTTGATTTACGCGTCGTGCGCTTGCACGAATCGTTTCCATTTCAAAGTGCAATGCATTCAGTCGACTGGCTGGATTTGTTCTTCATTCAATATCAATAACAAAAAACCAAAGAAGACAAAAAAACAACGTTGTAAACTGAAGCCGAGATAACAGTCGAATGATGGTGACTGTTTTTTTTTTTAAAGAAGTTTATTTTTATGGAAGTGACGAGATCTTGTTTGAATCTTATTCTGATGAGTGGTCTTTTTTTTCATTTAGTTCGCCTATATAATTTGATCCGCCACACATAACTTTCGTTTGCTTCAATGCTCTGCTGCATATTGAACGGTGCGCTTTGTGTTGT